TTACAAATATTTCGAGATAGTTGGCCCCGATGGTAGGGTAGCGAAGATAGACTGGGGTGAACTGGGATGTGGGAGAAGTAAGACACCCCATGTAACTAAAGATGAATATTTAACCTTTTATGAATTCGCTTAAATCTTGCAAAAGATCAAGGTTGTTAGTTTTGTTTCATAAATCAGCTATATTGGCATTAAATAGTTTCATACTGTATGGAAGTGGTCATTCGTCATAATAATATTGAAAGCCTCTTCATGAAATTACTTGTCTTTATTATATAATGATGTTTCTACTTTGGGTAAATAGACTTTAATGTCCTTTTCCCCTTTTAAATTATGTACATTTTAATTGACTATTAAAATGATGTTGACATGGTAATTCATATATTGTCCACCTCTCCTTTTAAACTCTGCATACTTAATTGAGTATCATAACGATAATGACATGGTAATTTGTAATCTTTTTGAAGTTTTATTTCTATTGAGATTTACTAAGACATAGTGACATTATTCGTATTAATAATAATCAGAGCCTATTTTAATTTAGCTAATATATCGTCAGTTAATCCCTTTATGGTAATTACTAAAGGGAAATCCTTCCCTGAAAGCAAACTACTTTAGAGAAAAGCAGAAAAAGCAGAGACGTAGACCGGTTATAGTTCGAATGAAATTGACCCCCCCCCCCCCAAAAAAAAAAAAAAAAAAAAAAAAAATGCATTTTTGAAATTTGTAATCACTTAAGGTATGGGCTCTTCAAATGGGCGGAATCGGTTCCAATTTGTTTCAAAATACTTCACCCTTTTGTTTGTAATGCATGACTGAGGAGGGTTTTTTCTACTTTGATGGCCGATAATTATTTGCCAATAATACTATATTTTGAGAAATACCCCAAAGGAGCAGACACTTTGCAGAAAACATTATTTAATCTATACACTTTGAACCTGATTCAAGTATTTTGTTTTCATGATTTAGGATGCAAACAGTTTCAACAGCCTAAACTCATATTTTGCAGATATGGTATCATAATTAAACTCGAAGTGCAAATACATTTTATCATAAAGACGACAAAAAGCCTGCACGTAATGCACGCAATGTTATTGAAGAATATGTCGTCATTACAAATGATCAAAACAGTTAGCGTCAACGTATTTAAGGCATGTAACTCTCTTTTGAAACCTACACAACCTAAATTATCAAAGTATGGCAGAATTTTTCTTGTTATATAAGAAAGCATTACAAGCTCTTTGAAAAATCGATTAAATGCATAGTATATAGATTAATATAAACCTGATTCAAGTGTTATGTTTTCATGAAAGAAGTTAGCAGTTAAATATTAAAACAGTTTCAAAGGCTATCAATTCCTATCTTGGAGACATGATATCTTTGTCAATTCCAATGAGAAATGGAGCTTTATCTTAAAGACAGTGACAACAATGCACGTATAATGCACATGATTTTGAACAACATTTCGTAATTACAAATATTTCCCCCCAAATGGCACGTGGCCTTAATGGTGTGGTAGGAAATATAGTCTTGGGTGAACTTGGATTGGGGGGGGGGGGGGGGGGGGGCGGGGGGAAGAGGGACATTTATCATGTAAATACAAAGTTTTTAATCTTCCCTGAATTTGCTTTAATGTTCCAAAAGGTCTATCATTACTCTTTTTTTTCTTCCTGTGTGTCTTGTCTCCCTGGGTTTTTCGTCAGTACTTTATAAACCTTGTCCGAGTTGATTATTTAAAAATATATATGTCTGAATTAACTATGACTTTTTTATGAAAATGTTATTTTTAATTTGTTCCATGTCAAAGCGTTACATGGTAGATCGGAAATGTTTTGTTATGACTAATGGATCACCTCATACAAACAAACATACACAAATTTGAACACCTGTACCACGGTTTTGCTTGTAGGTTTAAGTTTTCGCTTTTGTTTAACGAGTTATTATAGTGCTACTTTTCGGCTTTCCGTGTCAAATGTCCTCCCACTACACCTAGTACGCTTTTTATATAGAATACAGCTCTCATCTATAGGGCCTAATACTTTGCAATCTTTCTTCTTTTTTTAAAGAAAACTTGTTAAAAAGGATTAGTTTTCTGTATTTCGTTGTTTCTTCATATCGTGGTGGACTGGGACACCTTGTTCGATCCCACCTCGGTTTTCTCTCTAATTCGATCTACCCTCGCCCTCTATCTCTTCTCTATGTTTTCTTTTCTTAATTTTGTTTCTCTCTCTCTCGCTCTCTCTCTCATCTATTCACTTTCTCTCTCTTCTCTTTTCTCTCTGCTTGTCTCCCTGTTTCCTCTCTCTCTCTCTCCTTCTATCTATAGTTCTAACCTGAAATTCACATTTCCTTTGTGATAGATATAATTACTAAACTTAGTTTTGTTTAACTTTGATTTGACTATTAATGGGGAGGAGGGGCGGAGTTGTTGATAATGGCATTATGTTTTCACTTTAAAGTCACCAAGATCACTATGGTTTAATTAATATTACTGCATTTTATATTTCATATTGGTTTTCGTATTCTACAATTTATTGTACGAACCTGCCTTAAACCCAAACTTTTAGGTTTGGACCGAGGTCTACTAGAGACTATTATATCATTGATATTAGATATACAATCATAGCAAATACTCAACTTATTTACTTTGGAAGGTGGGCAAACTATTATCTCCTCGGAGATAGGTTGTCCCAAAAGTCCCATCGCCGGAGTAGTCATTAATTATTTGATTTGCTTTGCTTTGCTTTACTTTGGTATGTATGAGGAAGTAGGTTGAGTGTCCGGACGCTTATTAAATTAATATAATGAAAATTAAATGTCCATTAAATAGCACAACACATCACAGACATTTGTCTTTTATAATGATTTCTAAGTTAATTCGTTCAGACACATAACGTCTGGGTAAGCCTGCAAATTTTAATTATCATGACGATGTAACAACAGCAACATATATGCATGAGAAATTCCTTTAAAAGGGATGGGGCCAATGCGCTTAAATCACAAAAACTCTTTTGAACATTTCATGACGATTTTTTTTTCTTAATTACGGTTTATTTTAAAATAAGAATATTATACAAATAATGAATGTTTATGAGTTAAATAGTGCGAATATTTTCATGAGTTGAAAGATTAACATTCTATTCAACGAGGCGTCAGCCGAGTTGAATAGAATTAATGTTAATCTTTCAACGAATGAAAATATTCGCACCATTGAACGAATGAAATACATTCATTATTTGTTTTATACAACATCGAAGAAGATCTAATAGAACGTTAATCAACAAATTATGCTTTACTCCTTATATTAAAGATAAATTCAAGTTGGATTCAAGCCTTCTCGATTACATTCAGATTGCCTTCGCGTCAGATACACGCAGGGATACGCGCGCGCACGGCAGAGAGGTACGCAGTCTGCATATAACCAAAAATGCACGGCGCATATAACCAAAAATGCACGACCGTGCAATATACCATCTATTGAATATCATGTGACCAACAATCCTCCAATCAAATGACAAATCCACGTAGGTGTTGTATAATACAAGATATTTAACTTTTCTTCATAGTCATAACGTTTCTGCTTCTGCTATACATGTATTAAACAATAGGTATGGAAATATCCCCTTTCCATCAATGTGTAGGTCTATTGTAACTCAATCTTTCGAGCAGAGTTATAGAAAAAGACATTTTTCTATAATGAAAATACTCTCTCTCCCCCCACACACACACATACACACCCACACCCACACCCACACACACACACATTAGCTTCTTTTCAATTTATGCTTATACTGTACTGTAATATTAAAATCATGTTATCCAAACCTGCGCCAGGAGTGTCAAGTTGACAGACATGGCGCGTTTTAAATGGCCACTTAATTGCATTGACGACTTTCGTTAATGTTTTGTTCTTGTTCGCGTTATATATTACGCCAACAATCCAAATCGTTTTGCACGCAGTGCTTGTTTTTTTTTTTAAATCTAGGTCCTTAAGTTAAATCCCCAGCCCGATTGCTTTCAAATTGTGTAGGCGTAACCTCCGTCATCTCATCTCGATCACCTGCATGATTCTTCGTTTTTCTCATTCGTTAACGATAACATCCCGATATTTTAGTGTACATGTACTTGAGTATTGTATGAATTGCAACATAGAGTCTATTATTTCAAAAATGTTATATGTATTTCTATATTTATATCAGTGTTAAAAGGGACGTCAAGTAGCCAATTTTGCAAAACCATTGTGTTGCAAAACAGAATAATAATCATAAATTAGATCTTTCCAGGGACAATTAATCCTGTTTTTTTTTAATTCGTCAAAGTTTTGCAAATGGGATCAGAATAGGGTTCAGAGTTAGCTGGGTTATGATTAGGTATTGTATTGATCCCCAACACGGCACTAATGTCCTTTGACAAGGCATTAATCTACATTTGCCACTCCGTACCCTGGAGAGAATAGGGGACCTAAGATTACGAAATCCTTTGTATTAGTAATTGCCGTATGCCTGCCCTTCACGATGACCATATGGTATGAATACTCTCCAGGGAGTGGAGTGTGGAGATGGTGCACATCGTCCGTAAATTAATCCGATGACTGGGGTAATATTATCTGTAAAGCGCTAAAGAGATCATTACCAATTTTGATAAATAAGAATTCGCGTGGTGTAAGACCCTGACCCGGAGCAATTGGTGTAGGAGCAATTGTCGGACAACCACCAAAGAACCAATCGTTATATTGTCACACTTACAGTTTGTCCTACAGTGTTATTGTAGTGAAACTATTTAATTGGCAATCATGACAATTAATGACACAGTGTGATTTTGTTTTCTTCTGAAAATGAATAACATCTTTAATACGTTCTATATTTCTTGTAAAATGATACTGGTTAATCTCTATACCACAAGTTTTTTGTTGAAGACTATAATATGACCAAATTCAATCCAATACATTAATCAGTATATGATAAATGCACATTATATAATTCTATATTTTTGTTGTTGTTGAACTTGTTGCTTTTGTTTATTTCTAATTTATTTATTTACTTGAATTCGTTTCCATTGAAGCCAGGAAAACAAAAAACAGGCCTAGTCTTCCATTTACATAATGTCCTTTGAGAAAGGAGTTCTCATAGTTTCGAATAGATGTAGTTGCAAGAGTGGGAATAAATTAGCTTTGTGGCTTAAAATAAGGCCAACATTATCTTGGTACGAAGTAGCATATTGTTTGTTGTTGTTCAAAATGATAGCATAAGCAGTATTAAAGGTTCAATTATTATAGTAATATTAATGGCTTGGTAAAAAGCCAGGAACGGTTTATGGTTAATCCGGGATCTTATACCAGCACGTGAGTCCAGTGTAACCATCCGGGCAATTGCATGAGTTGTTTTCACACACAGCACCGTTCATACATGGGTCGTTGATACAGTCAACTGCAAAGAAACAGAAATGTTTTCTTTCATTAACTTTCAACATGGTAGAAAAAAAAAGAATTATTTTGTTGATGTATGTCCCTGGTCACACCTCGTCGGTAACGACGATAACTATAACGAAAAATTGTTCCCAAAACGCTCCTTTGTTATTTATGTTAAGTCTATATTGTATAGGTCTTTGCGACCGTGTCTAATATTCAGGGGGAATATTCGAGGGAAATATACTTCAAAATGATCAATCTGTTTATAAATGAAATAGGGTATTTTTTTTCAGTAAATTTGCCCTAAGATTAATAAATGAATGAGATTAACTAATAAAATAACAAAATAACTTACTAAATAAACATATGCATACACAAAAATGATTAAATTAACCTATGGAAAGACTAAAGGAGACACACAATTCAACCTGTTACGACAAAAGGTCTAAAATAAGGCTTCCTTTATTTTATCGGGTCCTCGCATCGGGTTGGGTGGTGGTGTTACCCGGCCTTTTGTGAAAACAATCCTTCTCATCTACTACTGGGCTACTCTTATTTACCCGACACTCTGTGAAAACCCTACGGGAAATTTACGAAAGGTCGCCTGATCTTCAAATTTCGTTTAACAAAAGGTCATGTAAGGTGATGACCCGATGATCCGAAGAAAGCCAAATAACATATTCAAAGTGACAAACCACATACTTGATTCGCATGTACTTCCTTTAAATCCAGATGGGCATAGACATTCATTGTTGCTGCATGTAGACCCGATTTTGCATGGATTCGTATCACAGTCAACTGTTGATAACCGATGAAAAGTAAAACAATAGTAAAAGGCGGGCAGAGAAAATATAAAGAATGACATTAAACAGGTATATTAAGTCAGATGTTTCTTCCGGCACTGCGTGTATCCATGAAGACATTAGAAGAATCTTTGTACCCACGACTACAGGAACAAAAAGAATCATAATAACTTTCTTAATGAAAATGATGATGACAATGATAATAATAATTTAGAAGAAGAATGATGAGGATGATGATAGTTATTATAATAATAACAATAATGATAACAACAATATTAGTACTATATTCATCATCATCAAATTGGTAATAATAGTAATAGTAATAATAATATGATTAAGAAAAGCAAAGATAATAAAAAGAAATATAGCATGTTTTGTTACCTAACCCTTCAAAGAGTTGGGGGCCCATCTCAAACTTTTCACCCACCTTTTCACGCACACACGCACACAAATATTTGCATAATGTACATACTTATTTCACAGTTGAGTCCAAGGAAGCCAAGTACACAGAAACATGTGTCATTAGCACAAGATCCTCTATGGAAACAGGCATCATCTACATCGCAGATTTCTGTAGAGGTTAACAATAATATTGCGTCTTGAACATTTGCAAAGAATATAGTGTTCCTCCAGTCAATCGCAAATTTCAAATCTCCTCTCTTTAAAGGTAATACAAAGTTTTGGTATGGGGTCATGAATTTGGTTCAAATGAACATATTGGGAGCATATGCGATCCTACAATATTCAGTGATCGTTGTCGCAGTTGAAATCGAGTCTAAAGTTTTGAAATTTAAACTCTTTATGTTGTATAGCTCCCTCTCGAGGTCAAGGTATTAATAAAGCTATCACTATGAACATGACTGACAATGAGAGCGGACAAAATATACAGTTCCTCAGGTAGACAAAGGAACATCCCTTACTGCTATTATGTAAACATGTGTAGAACAGGTGTCACATGCATATTCACCTTTTTACATAATAGCTGTGAAGGGATGTTCCTTTGTCTACCTGAGGAACTGTATATTTTGTCCGCTCTCATTGTCAGTCATGTTCATAGTGTATACAATAATGTTTCTTGACTACACTCGACCGATTTAATCGTCAAGGTATTAATAAAGCTATACAATAATGTTTCTTGACTACACTCGACCGATTAGCTATTCCCGTTTGAAAATTATACATCACAACTACATATCCTGAGATTTTCATGGTCGCAGCTACCATTGTACGGCCGTAGGTGCTATTCAAAATTTTATCAAAATTTACCGGGAGCACCGGTAAATTTTTATATTCAATTTTTCTCGAAAGCAGAAGTGTTTTTGGGGCTAAATTTTCTAGTGCTTATAATACATCTACAGGGGCATCCAAATATATCAAAATTGTAAAGAATCACTATCCACCCAATTTTCCAAATTCCCAAAACTTTTTATTACCTTTAATGAAAGCACTCAGTTGCGATTGATTTCAATTTTCGATCGATGCGAATCAATTACAACTCCTTACAAGACGGGGCAATTATGAATGATGATACTTAATAAATAATAATAATAGTGGATGACTTTGAATTTGATACAAGAGCATATTGTCATAGCGAGAGCAATATTTATCACACAAACAGAAGCTACACTATATTATTATTATCTATATCAAGCTGACTAGCACAATAACAAATTTTGATTCTGTAATTAAGCAATATTATATCGACACTTTAAGTTCCCGGATGATAGAGCAATACGAAAACAATGTTGATCTGCCATTCGGGTACTGCGCTAAAGATATACACTGATGTACCACTTGGAAGCCTCAATATATAGATAATATTAGATGGGCGTTATTTTCATCAGTAGGAGGGGAACATTTGCAGCTTTTAAAGGCAACTAATGTACATAACCTAGTTTGCATACAGTACCGTCTTTTATCATCAGGTATATAGGGTAATAGGGTCGTCTCAGTTTTTAGAAACATATCTGGGGCCCGTTTCACAAAGCCTTTTTTTCAATGACAAATGACAAAAGTCAGTGACAAATCTGCTGATAACCAATCAGAAGCAATGATTTCAGTAGCTTATAACAAGAACCGTCATTTGTCACTGATGAAAAGTTTTGTGAAATGGAGCCCTCTAATGCCTACATACATTTCGTAGTCAAAATGAGGACATGAGGAATTAAGTGCTAGTTTTTAAGACGGTTCTTACCTGCTTCTATACAATGTGTTCCTGTTGATATATAATAACCACTCTCACATCCGCATTCATACGATCCGTGTGTGTTATGACATGTTCCTTGAGCTAGATCACACGGATAGGTCTCTGCAGAACACTCGTCAATATCTGTGGGATTAGATAAAAATAATTGGAAATTGTACAATTTTACCTGGACAGAACTAATCATATCTTGAAGAAGAAAAAAAAATCAACACACACATATGCAATGACACGGATATCCCTTCTATATGAAAACCAATAATTTTGTAGATAGGCCTAACTCTTGTAATTCTAGCTATAAACAAGCGGGATTAGCCTAATTCAGTTTTGTGATCAACAATTAGGTTAGTGTAATGCTCGGTCTTTTCCTCATATCATATGCTAAAGTTCTCATCTGACATTTGCACCACCCGAAGACTCTCCGATAGACGAGTATTTGTTGAGTAGACTACGAGTTTGCTGTGTGTTAAAGTGTACATTCATTAATGGTATTTCCACCAAGTCAGTTGTCAGCGAATTATGACCTTCTGCACATGGAAACTGCCGACCCAACCTCCCTAGATTTATAATTGCATGATGAATTCCAGCATCGGTCTTAGCCAAAGTCGTTCGAGACGTATATCTTAAACATCCACCTACCTATCTCACATCGAGCGCCTGTCATAGTAGGTGGGCACGTACACACGGCTTCTGTCTCCTGATTGGTGCATGTTCCTCCTCCTTGACACGTGACTAAGTAGCAAAAATTGACTGATACAGAGAAAGAGAGAGAGGGGGAGGTGATAATGAGAAGATGGAGACAGATCGAGACAGTGGAATGTGTGTGTGTGTGTGTGTGTGAGAGAGAAAGAGAGAGAGAGAGAGAGAGAGAGAATTGGTAATTAATGAAAGAGAGAGAGAGAGAGATTGTAAAAGGGGCCGGGGGAGGGTGACAGAGATAAATCCACGCAAACAGGCGCACACATGCCAATAACGGGCTGTACAGGCCATTATTCTGCACAACTATTTATTTTATTTATTTATATCTGATATTAATATACAGGGTGGCACATATCACCAATTTGTGGGTACACACTTTCTTACCTTCTCCCGTGCGTGAGATTGTGAATCCATTCCATAAATAAAAAGGATAGGTATCTGCTCCGTTCGTCAGGAGCGCCCCCGCGAAGCCAACCTCCTCTCCAGTGGTGAGGTTGATGGCGCCGAGACCGCGACGCTCTGAGTCAATCCAGTACATGATATCGCCGAACTTTTGGATGATACGTGGAGCATAGTTTGTCGATGGGTTGGAGTAGTGGACTTGACGATTGGTGCCGTCTAATTGTATTGATTCGATCACGCCCTCTTGAGTAAACCAGTATATTCGGCATTCTGAATAGGAAAAGAGTTTTTGACATTTCTATTTCTTCTTATAATTCTTTTTAGAAGTAGTAATAGTCCTATCATGATAATCGTCCTTAGTATTATACAGTCAAACCTGTCTATAGCGACCGCCCAAAGGGAAACACATCAAGTGGTCTTTGTAGACAGGTTCCTTGATTACATGTTTCAATGACACATGCAGACACCCCCCCCCCCCCATGTAATCTCAAACATCATGGGGAAGCAATAACAAAAAAGCCCACACTCTTTAAATATCTTTCAAAATATCAAAACTAAAAATGATTGAACATAATTTATAAGAATACAAAATCCGAAAAAAAACAAAGGAGACGCGGCGGGTCAGTGAGCAGTGCATGGTCTCGTAACCGGTAGTTCCTCGGGTTCGAAACCAATTTGATGAGCTAGTGCCTTTTGGTAAGGGATTAATCCTCGTTAACAAATACAAATCTCATCGGAGAGGTATTAAAGTTCATTGGTTGCTTACTTTCAATTGGTTGCTTACTTTTCAAGCATACACATGCTTTGTAAGCAGTCAGACAATTTTTATACAAACAAACCAATTTGCGTCAGTATACATTTATCGTTGATATACAGTGCGTCCCAGAAAAAAACGAAACTGAGAAGTATGGATGATATTTCATAACTTAATTAAAATGTATAATTAATGACACATATTTGTCAAGCTTAGATCCTCATCTTTCACTTTGATGCAACTCGCATTATTCATATTCCACGCATGGGTAATTTAAAACAATTTGAAGAAAGAATACCAAAAAGTCATTTGGCCAACGGTATTATCTGAATTTCAAATCCCATTTTCAAGAAAGTTCATTTTCTGCCCTTTCAATAATGACACCTCAATCAGAAAAAGTTCTGTTTGTTTAAAGTAATGCTTGCATTTCCATAATTTCATTAAAGGAATTCGTTAACGACCAACCATGCTTAAAGGTACTATGTCCCATTTGCAGGCCAAAAAAATGAAAAAGTTAAATTCCGACTGCATTTGAAAGATAATACTAATTTAGAACTTCCCTAAAAAAGGTGGGGCTTGGAAATGTCTTCAAGTGGGAAAATAACGACTATTAGTTGTGAAATCGACTTTAGGGCTATAGAGACCAAAAGTAATAGTCTTGATTTTCAGACAATTGTACCAAATGGTCATACGTTTTATGCTGCGCAAAGATTCAATCACTTTAATCTTGGCCATCACAAGAAGTGGGTTATTGATGTAGACAAAATGTACCCTTTACAACTCTTTTCATGTATGTTATTACCAAAAAAGAAAAAAAGCCAGTCAGTCACTCAATAGTGCCTGACAGTGAAGTCTAGCAAGTAAACGGGTTTCCTTGCATACTTTGAATATGAGGACACTGTTAACGTTTTAATTTCACAGATAGGACATACATGACATATTCATAATTCCTGCCAATTCTACAGTATTTGAGGTTGGCTGCAAAAGGGACATAGTAACTTTAAAGTGTAGCTCATTTTTCCTGATATAATAAATAAATATTATGGAAATCCAGGGCAATCACAATATCCAAGGCGAAGTTTGTTTCGGTCAATGCAATTAAGATGAAAACAAACAAAAACGATTTTTCTGACTAAAAGAAATACAAATCTAAGAGCCCTCAAAATAATTTATTGTTGCAAGGAGGATCGTTATTTAATGTGTTTTTATATACCTTTCTTTAGAAATCTAGCCATCTGATTGATCGAAATTGGAGTCGTGATTTAGCCATTCCCATAAAGAAGAAAGAACAATGCCAGTATTAATGGTCAATAGTTCATGAGTGAGATTCCCGCAAGGTTTCAGGGACCGGGAAAATTGTTAAATTTGGCTGCGATCCCCATTGGTTTACGTGTTAAAATTGTCTTTGTGCGAGCGCGGATACCTACCATACAGGATTTTTTGTCTGATATTCCCAAATGATTGTAACATTCAGTCATCTTTCCATCGAAGATTAACAGACATTATCTCAGATTTTCCGTGATGTTTTAACCAATCTTTACTCAAGAAAAGGATAGGGTAAGAATTCTTGGTACATTTGTATTTCAATTCGGTATATAAAAGACATATCGACTGCATTAATATTCGAGGCCTGGCTGCTGGCTCTCGGGGACGTGCAGATCCTGCCATGACCCCGAACCACGCCTGGGGTACTATAAAACAGCCAGGCCTTTCATGGCAGTCGATATCTCTACAATATCTTCCCTTCTCTCTCGCTCTCCATGTAATATACCTGCATGGTCGATGTATAAGTCTTTGATATCAGCTGTAGCCCCTACATCAACGAACTCTTCCTTGCTTAAACCACCGTTGCCTATCCACGAATCGGTGTCTCCTTTCCAAATTATCCTTCCATTTGTCCAGAAAATCCGTCTAAAAGAAAAATTATTTATTAAACATCGACGACCGATAAATACTATCAACAACATTTAAAATGTATATTGAGAATATGACAAGATTCTTTATAAAAAGTCATTATCAGGCGGAGAGGGGCGGGGGCGCCGAAAGCCGAGGGAGGGGAGGGGGCATAATTAAATTTATTTAGGTGCATTGAGTGTATAGCATATGAAATTAGAGTATTTATCACTGGTCTTCATTTACTTCCAGTGGGGGAGGGGGGCATTGAAAACATACCATCAGGCTAGTATTGTGGTACCATGTCTGAAAAATACCTTTTATTTTATGTGGGTAAGGGAAAAACAATGTTTAACTGTAATCGTGTAGATTTAGACATGCCGTGGTTCAGGTCAAATACTTTCTAGTAGGTAGGCCATAAGCTATAGTGCAAGCCGAAACTGTTGATCACATGGTTTGCGGTTCGAGTCCCACCGAGCCACTCCTTTTCGCAACACATTAATCTGGGGCCCGTTTCATAATTGTTTTTATCTATAACAACTGCTTAATTTCTATGACAAATTTGCTCTCAGCCAATCAGATGCCATGATTTCAGTAGCTTATAACAGTAGCTTGTAACTTGTTATTGATATCAAGTTTGCTCTCAGCCAATCAGATGCCATGATTCAGTAGCTTATAACAGTAGCTTGTAACTTGTTATTGATATCAAGTTTGCTCTCAGCCAATCAGATGCCATGATTCAGTAGCTTATAACAGTAGCTTGTAACTTGTTATTGATATCAAGTTTGCTCTCAGCCAATCAGATGCCATGATTCAGTAGCTTATAACAGTAGCTTGTAACTTGTTATTGATATCAAGTTTGCTCTCAGCCAATCAGATGCCATGATTCAGTAGCTTATAACAGTAGCTTGTAACTTGTTATTGATAACAAGTTTGCTCTCAGCCAATCAGATGCCATGATTCAGTAGCTTATAACAGTAGCTTGTAACTTGTTATTGATATCAAGTTTGCTCTCAGCCAATCAGATGCCATGATTCAGTAGCTTATAACAGTAGCTTGTAACTTGTTATTGATAACAAGTTTGCTCTCAGCCAATCAGATGCCTTGATTCAGTAGCTTATAACAGTAGCTTGTAACTTGTTATTGATAACAAGTTTGCTCTCAGCCAATCAGATGCCTTGATTCAGTAGCTTATAACAGTAGCTTGTAACTTGTTATTGATATCAAGTTTGCTCTCAGCCAATCAGATGCCATGATTTCAGTAGCTTATAACAGTAGCTTGTAACTTGTTATTGATAACAAGTTTTTATGAAACAGGGCTCTGGCTTTGCTATTTCCTTTACCCAGGAGTAGTGAATCCTTGAAGGAACTTATTCAGCTAAAGAATAAAGCATAGGCGACAATCGAAGTCTATATACGCATTGGCCAACCTCTGTGATAGGATAGCTATTATAATATTTGACAGTTTATATGTTGTATAACACCTGCATAATATATTGACACTGTATACTTTACACGTACACAGTTTTACAGTGTGTATTTTGTTATACAAATTATACACAGCAGCGAGAGCATTATAGTAAGAATGACCCACACAAGGTACCTTTGGAACAGTCTAACACGCCCGAGGTACCGAGTGTGGGTAATTTTTACTAAGGCTCGAACTAAATGTTGTGCATTATTTGTTTTATAAGATGATGTTTATTCGTTTTATATAATTATGTTTTATAACAGGATTTTACTAATGACCGGTCAATCACAAATAGGCTCTCAACCAATCATTTGATTATGATCCACTTCATCATCGTAGAAAGGCCTAAAGCACACGCATACTAATCCGTCTACCTGTAGATGATGTCGTATTTTATACCGTAGGCACCCGATTCTGTCAGGCCCGTAATGACCGTCGGGTTAACCCCTCCATCTGATAAGTCAGCCTTGATCACGTTCTGACTGTCCTTGTCCACCGCGTACACAGTATGGAAGGTGTTGTCCAGATCAAAATAGTAGGTACCTGTCATTATATAACACGATAACAATTTAAAGGCCCACTGCACTACTTGTAGCTACTTGCGCCCTCTATCTAACAAACAATGCCTCATCGGTGACCATTGGTCCCCCATGATCCTCTTTTTCTTATGTTAACTGAGAGCTGAGTTGATGAGATAACCACCTGTCCAGTGACCTTGCAGGGCAGTCTAATCCCTCCTGTAAACTATGGCAGATAAGCTTTAAGTGTATCAATCACCGAAAAACATAATAAGTATGTGTCCATCTACAATGTATAATCCCCCCTCCCCTTCTTTGCAATTCACGTTATTTTTAATTTTTATTGTTGTATCTAAGTTGAGGGCTGCGGACACGTCAAGCTAGTTTGCTTATTTCTGTAGCCCTCCTGCATCTAATGTATGTTAATTATGCATTCAATATATTTGTTTAATTTCGTTTATTATCTGTATAAAATTATATACACTTAAAATATTGTATCAAACCATATTATATTCATGAAAATGTATGATGACAAAAAGAAACCAATAAATCAAATCAAATCAAATCAGAAGTAAAACATATTTTAAAAATAAAGTCATCATGCATTCTATGGGCAAATTGGAAAAGAGGTATGAGCAAGCTCGAGGATTAATAACAGAAATCCCGGCAATAGTTTAGTCATCATTGTGAGCATCTGTACAATATTATTGCACCTGGCTGGAATGCTACCTAGAGAGTGGAGAATGTGTACATTGTGCGCGGGCAAGTCTGACTCTGTGTCTGTGAAACGATTGTGAACTTGACTGAATTTGGTTTCATTGCAATCTTCAACTTTCAATGAATTGAGTAAAAAGAGCACATTCGTTTAACTTGTAAAATCGAGCGAAAATTATCAAACTTCATTTAAATTGACGATGAGCCAACCCACTTAAGACCCCGAAAACAATCATTTTACAAGTTCATTTGTCAGTGGCGCCACCGTGTTAACAATGGGTCTATCAGCTGATCTGATTGACGACGGTGTCTGTTGTAGTTTGTGTGCAAATCAAAAGCATTTCAATGAATATCGTACTTATTCATACCCGACGTAGTTTACATTTATCAAAACTACCTTCGATTTTCTTTTGTTATTATATGTATCATTATTGTTATCATTATTACTACTATACTATTACTATCATCATTATTATTATTATTATTATTATCATCATCACTATTGTTATTATTACTATTATTACTATACTATATAGATTAGAACTTACTAAATGCAGGTATGACTTCGGTTGATGTGCTGGATTGTATTTCAGCTCGCCTGAGTCCCATACTCGTATGCTTACTGTTTAATTCTCCCCAGTATAGCCAACCATGCACGTGATCATACACTAATCCAGTGACGGGTCTCCCCATAACTGGGTAGATGAGCAAATAAATGAATAAGTGAATAAGTGAATGAGTGAATAAATGAATAAATGAATAAATGACTAAAATGAAGAAATTATACGCTAAATCACAATAATTTTGCCTAAAAACCTTCGCATTTATGGAATTCGAGGGCTCTCGCGTAGTTTATCATTCCGGCAACAGTATGTGCATCATGGTTTTTCACAATGAAATGTGGATTCCCACAAGGATCAATATTAGGTTGTCTTTTGTTTAAATTGTATATAAAATGATAGGCCTACGACTAATGCATTGCCACTTAATATAATTTATGCTATTTGCTGCCGACATTCACGACACCAAAATTATTTCAATTTCCATGGATGCCCTTATTCATACAACAAATTTAGAATGACCATACAATTGTAAGTAGTACTAGTTTAAAAGTAATATACTACGACGATATATTGAAGGAAAAAACGAATTTCTTTCACTTTAAACATGCAAATGATTTTACTTATGATATTGAAATTGATAACATATAGGCCTACCCTTATCAAGTAAACAATTTACACCATTTTTAGGTATCTATATTGATGAAAATCGTAGCTGGATTTAACACATTCGATACATAATCACAAGTACATGTATTTTTAAGAATATCGGTGTATTTTATAAAACACAAACGTGATCTTCTTAAAGACTCTTTAAAGGCTATATAACTCGGTCATCTTCCCGTATATTTAATATTCCAAGTGGGTGTAATGGCTTCCAGTGTATATGACACAAATTAACCTATGTACTGGCTCCCATTATTCAGTCCATAAACAAACAAATATCATTAATTAAAAGCATTGACAAATCTTTTTTTTTAAATAAACGCACAAGAGAGTTTGACTTTATGTTTAGGTTCGTAAATAGCCTCCTCCCTGATTCATTTAAAGCTTATCTGCCGTAGTTTACAGGAGGGATTAGAGCGCCCTGCAAGGTCACTTGATAGGTGGTTATCTCATCGACTCAGCTCTCAGTTAACATAAGAAAAAGAGGATCATCGGGTACCAATGGTCACCGATTAGGCACTGTTTGCTATATAGATGGCGCAAATAGCTACAAGTAGTGCAGTGGGCCTTTAAGAATGTATTCGCATTCAATAACACCATCCATTCTCATTATTTGATGAATCCTAAATCATGATTGATCTTGCATAATTACAGAAGACACCATGGTCAATAAGGAATGCACTCCTAGACTCATTAAAATCATGTAAAACCCTACATTCATTTAAATTCAATACGCAGACAAAATTCTGTCAGCGTACTTTGTTTGATCTTTTCAAAGTGCGGAATTGATATTCATTAATTATCATTTCTAGACTTCTGTAAACAGGCGCGGATTCACGGGGGGGGGGGGGGGGGGGGGGCCCGGCCCACCCCCCCCCTGGCTTTTTTTTATACCAAAAAAAATTATGCCCCCCCCCCCCCCCCCCCCCCCCCCCCCCCCCGAGCGAGATATTGGTCGGCACGATTTTCACATTTTCGAGGTCATATACGAGAAAAAATTATGCATACTTCCCCCCCCCCCCCTACTGAGCGAGATATTGGTCGGCGCGATTTTCACATTTTAGGCCCCCCCCCCCCTACCGGCAAATCCTGGATCCGCCCCTGTCTGTAAACATCCTATTACTATATGTTATAACTTCCGTATACTTATATAAGTTTTCTGTGTCAGACATAGGCCTATTTACATCAACATATTTTTCTTTTTAAAGTTTATCATCATCATCATTATCATCATCACCATCACTATTTTTCTTTCATTCCTATTTATTTTTTATCTGATCACCTTACAATATTCTTTTTGACCAGTTTTTAAATTTCTCTGGGTTATATTTCTTCTTTAAAAAAAAGATTTTGGATATAAATTCAACTCTATTTTGATGATTACCTTTTTCTTTTAATCCATAAGCAGTTCAGAGTTTTCTTAAATTCCAAATAAAGCACCTATTCCTCCTTAAAGGCCCACTGCACTACTGGTAGCTACTTGCGCCCTCTATATAACAAACAATGCCTAATCGGTGACCATTGGTCCCCCATGATCCTCTTTTTCTAATGTTAACTGAGAGCTGAGTTGATGAGATAACCACCTGTCCAGTGACCTTGCAGAGCGGTCTAATCCCTCCTGTAAACTACGGCAGATAAGCTTTAAATTGGTACCGATTATTCAAAATTTCCATTTAATGAAGATTAAATGGGCAAATAAAGATGACCAAATTCAATCCCCGAAATGATAACTTATTTTGTACACGCAAATTGTGATTATAAATTTCACACAACGTCGAAATTTAAAGACATTTTTGTAATATATACAATTAATTTTGTTTTAATTTATGAATAGCACATTGTAAAGTAATATAAATTAAATACTTTTGTAATTTTTGGTGACGTTTTTCTCCTTCAGCTCATGTATCATGTTTCCTAGTAAGTTTGTTTTTGTTTTTGTTTATATCAAAAGGTAAGTTGTTAAATGTCACTAAAAGAAGACACTGATTTGTTGTGGGTTAAATGGCTGAAATGTAAGTCTTTACTAACTTGGTACTCTGGAATACTGCAGCTCCGTGAGAAGTGTGTTAGTATCCGTGATGTTTGCCGTGTAGATGCTCCTGTAGGATGTATCGGAGATAAATACCATAGGTCCATCACCTAAACAAATATTATACAAGAAATGCAATAGCTTTAATCTAATTCAATTCAATTCAATTCATATTTGTTTCATTTCCAACAGAAAGATAAACAAAGACATTACATTTTTTTTTCATACATAATTCATTTTTTCTGGTAACTATACGTCAAATACACCTGGCACATAATACAATTATTACAAGAAATTCCTAATTACTGAGTAAATGGGGGAGGGCGGGGGATCCACTAAAAAGCAGTTCTTGTATTTTGTGGATCCCCCAGAAAAAATATAATTGTTTCAAATTTTGCCTACAAAGACTGGGAAGACACAAGACAACAAAACAACAAACAAAAACGAAACGACAAGGAGAAGTAAAATTAATAATAAAATTCATCGAAGAAATATTCAAGAAAATGTAAGCAGTTATTATCAAATGGGTCTTACTTTAAATCGATCGGTATAGACCAGTTGACTACTGAATTTTCCAATCCCATAGGCTTAATACCGGGACAACCTGGAACTCATTTCACAACAAATCCTCTTTTCAATGACAAATGACAAAAATCAGTGACAAATCTGCTGATATCCAATCAGAAGCAACACACAAGGAAATGAAGGTACTAATTTGCATACCTCTGCTACAATGGCATCACCCTTACGGGTGCAATTCTGCCCCAAAAGTGTGGAACAGATTTGCACGCAATTAGGGGTGCAATCTTGCACCCCGGCCTAGAGGGAACATACCTGCAACCTTAGGGGTGCAGACATTTACTAAAAAAACAGCGCACATAAGATATGGAGCAATGCCTCACCCTACTTTGAAGGTACAAACGTATACTGTGAGAAAATATTAAGCGGCGATCGACTCAGCCAGCTGGCCGAAAAAGCGCGGTTGGGGGGGGGGGGGGGGGGGGGGTATGGAACTCTATTCTTTTTAACCCCCCCCCCCTCCCTCTCTTTTGAGTAAAAAAAGTGTTCCCCCCCCCCCCTGGATCCGCTCCTGGTCTCTCAATCTACTTTGGCTGCTGATTGACCAGTCAGAGACTGACAGAGCTAGGCCCTGCTCAGGACTTTATAGATTTATAAACTTTAGTACGTGTCATTAGAGTCTGTCCCATCAGGCTAATTGGGTGTCACAGTGATTATACCTTCCATGTGGGCGCTGTCATCTAGCCAACCACTCGCCACCGGCAGTGACGTCATCAAGAGAAGTGCGAGCGAGAAGGTGGCTTCGGATTCAAAAAGCATTGTTGATTTCTAAAATGGTAAATTTGTAATGATATACATGTATATTGAGAAACCAACAAATATAGGTATAATAATAATAATAATAATGGTGTTGCTATACTACTACTGTACTACTTACGACTAATAGTATGATAATGATAATAATTGTAAAAAATAACAACATTATTATTAATAACAAGAATAAAAAACAATAATGGAAATGGTACAAATTGAATGAAATAAAATATTAAGTAGTATAAAGGTATCATCATTTCACAGATATCTGTTCTCATTATATCGATCATAAATTGAATTCTCTTATGATCTATAACTTATAAGACATTTTACTAGACTGAACAATATAGGCCTATACTTTTTCCCTTTTTTGTCTTGTTCTTAGTAAATAGTTTACAACCCTTTAGGAATTTTATTTGTCATATATTATGTATTGAAAAGGTGTAGTACCGATTCAAGCTTTATTTGCATATGTTTCATTACCTTTGTGTGTTCATTCATTAAATTGTATAAAATAGTGGCAATTTGTCTTTAATAAAACATTGTAATTTTTTTTTTCATGTGAAGTCAAAATTTCAAATGGATTGTAATATTGAAAATGATTTGTTATAATTGATTTATTTTCATGTGATGTTAACTCTAAAGAATAAAATATTGTATGAACTTTTTCAAATCACCGATTGAAATCAACTGTCCGGATACACAACCTGTCCGGGTATACTTTGACGTCGGTAAGTTTAGAATTATGCAATATTCATTTTTACAGGACAGAATTATGAAGAACGATATTTATCATGGCTTTAGTGCCTTCAAAACCGTTTAGCAGACTGGCAACCAAGGATGGGAAAGAGAAGAAGAGGAAGGCAGAAGAGATGATGGAGAGATGACCTAACACCATACATGGGAACGGCCGCTTGGACTAGGACAGCTAGAGACAGAAGAAAAAGGAAATGTTATGATGAGGGCTTTGTCTAACGTCTGGATGAAATATTGCCTGATAGATAGATAGTTAGATAGTCCCTTCTGGGTACAACCTTTTCGTTAAATCGGAAGGAAAGGGCGAGAGCGTTATTTTTGGTTCAACGTGAAGGGCTACAACCTCCCCCCCCCCCCTCAATAATAATACTTAGTTTTAGTTCCTAACCAAAGAGGATCTAGGACTCGTTTCACAAAGCCTTTTTTGAATGACAATTAACAAAATTCAGTGACGAATCTGTTAAAAACCAATCACAAGCAAGGATTTCAGTAGCTTATAACAAAAACTGTCATTTGTCACTGACGAAAAGTTTTGTGAAACGCCCCCCCCCCCGGATGTATAGGCAATATAAATACAGCGATCACAGGGTCTCTCTCGTCCATCAATCTATTTCTATATCTCCAACATAACTTAAGGAAGGAGGGGGGGGGGGGGGGTGAGGCCTACCTTTGAGTTTGTTTGTAGGCAAATTTTCGCTCCTCTACACTATACAGCAAGAACTCCGATCACATAAAGCTAGCCTCTCCTTTGTTTGCCTTTCTAGGCAATTGTCTAACTGCAATGATTGTGATGCTTTTTGAAAATGATTCCTTTTTAACAGGTTTTCAAATTATGAACACACGTGCGTTATCTAACTGCTTCTTGTTCATTGAAGCTTTGCGAAGAACTGCAGCAGGTACTAGGTGCATATATTTAGCTACACGTGTACCCAACTCTATAAATACGTGCGTTTGTTTCGTTTGTTATATACAAACGCGCATGGCAACGCGCATGAGTATACGCGTCATATTTTACGTCACAAAACCAAGTTATTATTAAAGGCAAGTGTTTGTGTTAACCTTAGATTAATCTAGCAAAATAGGATTTAAATATGAAACACAAAACAAAAAAAGGAAAGCCCCCCCCCCCTCTCCCCTCCCCCACGAAGAAGAACAAAATCCAAGTAATAATATTAATCATGAAAATAATAAAGAAATAAATAAAGAGAACACAAATATTTTATTATATGAAATAATAATCGCCGTCCGCCTGCCGGATGGAGGTTTTTGGGGGGCCTTTTTTTTTTTTTTTTTTTTTTTTTGGGGGGGGGGGGTTTCAGATTAAAAATAAATATTAAAAAATAAGAATATAAATGCAGACTTTTTAAAACTAACATCATTACGAAAACATTAATTAGTCTTCTTCTCCTTCTAATTTTCGATCCTACTTTTCTTCTTCTTCTTCTTCTTCTTCTTCTTCTTCTTCTTCTTCTTCTTCTTCTTCTTCTCCCTCTCCTCATTCTCCCTCTTCTCCTTCTCAATCTCCTTCTTCTTCTTCTTCTTCTTCTTCTTCTTCTTCTTCTTCTTCTTCTTCTTCTTCTTCTTCTTTTCATCTTCTTTTTTTTCTTTCACTGTCTTTGAATAAACGTAGCGGTCGAGAAGTTTTACGTGGAAGTGAAAACGTAAACAACGCGACGAGACAGCTTTCAAGTTGACCATTAATTGTTCGCGGAAATGTCTGACTGGGATTGGAATTCTCGAAAAGCTGGTATGGTGTATTACCTTTCTGGAAATCTTTCCATAATATTTTCATTGATGTGAGGTTGATTTCTATGCCTAGACATGGATTTCCAATGAAAACCGTGTTCAAACTGAACGTTCTGTATAATATACGTGTCCCATGTATTAACTTTCGCGTTAGATATTGTGGGGTTATTCCCTCTCCTGCACACACATAATGACATAGTCTAGTCTACATGTAGGCCTAGCTGCATTACTATCCTGGCTGTGTATTAAAAGCTGTGCTATTGATCCTCAACATTTCAAACACCACTGTACAAAACTCAACTGATTTCAATAAAAATCGGGGGGCGCTTGTTCAGAAACGTATCCAAAATTTGACCCTAACTCCGGCATGGATAAGGTAGACCTAAATAGACCTATTTAAATTATTATTTATTAAATGTCCAAATAAAGATCATGAGCTAAAAGTTGTTATGTTTATCACCTGTTTCGTGTCAATGTTTTTGTTATTTTTAGAGTATTTTTTGGAAAAACAATATTAGTATACAATTTTTCTCAGGTTCCACAGCAAACCGCTGCACAATACAAGTGCATATCGATGGTGGGTTGCGGGTGGGCGCGCGCGTCTGTGTGAAGTTATCTACTGTAATGATAGACCATTCCCTGGAATTATCCTTCCATTATCCTTCCATAATACTTAGAATTGACCTAGTTTATATTTGTTGATTGACAGGTGGACAAGGTGGTGGCAAGATGAGTACAGAAGACATGCTAGAGGGCGAGAATGACCGGATGACCCTTGGTCTAGCGGCCAAGGTCTCCACATTAAAATCTGTAAGTAGTAATCCTCCATTTATAGCCCAGTCGCCCGACAGCGCAATTCTTTTTTTACACGCTAGCCTGGCCATTTCTGTGATAAATACCATGGAAGCGACTGATATTAAAGTCAAGCAGCCTACATGCGAGGTGCATCATACACATGTACATCATGCATGACAATCATCAGATGAAGACCTAGCTGGCCCTTGTAAATGAGACGGCCATCGCAGCCATCGGGCGATGGAATTCAAGAAATTAGTTTAATTTAATTTAATTTTGGACCTTAAAATTAATCTTGATCGACGAACGATTCTTAGCAATCACCCAAATCCACTACGTGCATGCCTATGTGTATGCTTTCCCACCATGGCACGTTTACGAGTATTCCGGCAAAACTGGCCAGGCTAGCGTGTACCAAAAAATTGCGGCGCCCGGCATGCAAAGCTGAGCAGGTTCTCTTGGGAAATCTGACACTGTTCTTGTTCAGGTGTTTACCTAATAATAGGTGTTCTCAATCACCAGGATTAGCCTTCAATTTCATGGCAAACAGGCCTTCAATGTAAAGACTTGCATTGTCCTGTATGGTTTACTTTTCACTCAGTGACTCACCCAAAGAATACGTGGTATTACTTGATAGGCCTGTGGGTTTGCTGTGTGCAGACTTGTACACACATTAATGGTATTTCCACCTGGTCTGGTTTCAGCAAAGTATATCCTTGTGTGTATGGATTCTGATGACCTTCTCCCTTAAAGGGATCCGGTAACTTTGTCTCAGATTCTGAAACAAATTCTGAAACAAATTCTTGGATTTAGCTCATTCTCCAATGATAATTATAAACCTTTAGGTCAGTCAGGAACCCCATGACTTTTACAAGCCGATCGCCTGTCTGATTATCAAGATATTTATGATTGCAAATCGAAACCAAATTTTGCGTTTGCCTAATGGCTTTCATATCACTACAGTCCATTGGGGAAAATGAGTATGATAAAACCGGTCACTCAAAATGTTTTACTTTTTTTAGGCACTTCTTGCTCAATCTTTGTCTATGTATCTCTTTAAATGGGTAAGGTCACCCTGATATTAAGGTGGTTTGAACAAAAAGCAGAAAAATAAGAGTATTAAATGAGTGAAAGTTTGTGCAATATCCAATAAAATTCACAAAGAAAAGAAAATTTTATTTGAAGAAAGAAAAGAAAGAAAAAAAAATTATATTTAGGTTGAATGTTTAATAGCAAATCTTCTGATGTGCGAATGTACATTTTTTAATGTTTTTTTAGTACAGAGCAAATGGGAGGGGACATCGCAAGATACGTCACAGAGCTGCAAATTTGTGTTAGATTAATCGCACCTTCAAAAAATAATAACTTTCTAATTTGTTATTCGGATATTGCACAAACTTACACTTACTTGTTTCTTTTTTTTTTTGCTTCTGTTAAAACCAACTTAATATCAGGGTGGACTTACCTTTTAATGATTATTTTTTCTTTGTTTGAACTTTGATATTAGTTTCTTTCTCTCTTTTTTTTTCTTTCTTTCAGATTGCTAAGGATATGGAGAATGAGGCAAACGACCAAAATGTGTATTTAGATGGAATGGTAAGAAAACTACAGTATCTGAATGATAATAAAAAAGACAAGAATAATGATTATCGTCTTGATGATAGTAATGAGAATATTAATGTTGATAACTTAGGGATGTGGTACCTTTGTCTCACATGCTCAAACAAAATCCTTGATTTAGCTCATGCTGCAATAATAATTATAAACCTTTCGGTCAGTCAGGAACCCCATGACTTTTACAAGCCCATCGCCCGTCTGATTATCAAGATATATATGATTGGAAATCAAAATTTCCCAAAAAACTTTTCCTTACTTTTCTTATCGCACTACAGTCTATTGGGGAAAATGAGTATGGTAAAACCAGCGACTCAAAGTTTGGTGGTGGGATGTGTAGACAAGTGAATGATAATGATGATGGTACATGGAAATCATATTCTGAAAATAGTACTCCTGGGGGGTGTTTCACAAAGATCCTAAGTAGAACTTAATTCTAAGTTAGACTTAAAAACTATGGAGAGCCATTTGTAGTCTTAAAATAAAATATATTCATAAGCAGAAATTCAAGTATTTTAGACTTAAATTCCACATCAAGAACATGAAATCTCCCATGATAATAGAAATTATGAATGATTTAAATCAACATTTTATGCCTTTAGAAATAATTTTTACAAATATTTTCAATGATGCTAATGGCTTTCCATAATTTTTAAGTCCAACTTAAGAGATAAGTTCAACTTAGGATCTTTGTGAAACACCCCCCTGATGATTGTAGTAACAAATATGTTTCTTTACAAAAACAAATAGCCAACAAATGATAAAAGTAATCATTATGATGGTAATTTTGTTAAAATAATGTTGGTTATCTTTCTTAGCTTAGAGTTCTAAGGAGAACTATAGTGCCGATTGGAGAGGATGGGTGGCCAGAGTCCTTTTCAGGACTCCTCAATCCTCCCTCTCTCTCTCATGGTGCATCCACAAGTCTACTGTATAGTGTAAATCAGATAGTTGGGCAGGTAGTGATATGAAGAACACAAGCAACAAAAAAAAAAAAAAAAGAGAAGGCAAATATATAATAGTTGACAATCCCCTTTTCCTTTTCCAGTGATTAACACTACTCACAATGAAACAGAAGCCCAGGGGGGTGTTTCACAAAGATTCAAAGTTGAACTTAGCTCAAAGTTGGACTTAAAAATTATGGAGAGCCATTTGTAGCCTTAAAATAAAGTATATTGTTTCATTGTTGATATTATGGTATTTATAACTCATATGTGGAAACAAAAGTTGACTCTTCAATTTATTTCCATAAGTCATAAGAACCCTGAAAGGAGTTAATCTTTCTAACAAAAAATGCCTTTGCACACATATTCACACCTTGTACCTTGCACTACTTTTCCCTTTCTTTCTATCTCAGCACGATGATTTCTCCAGCTCTGAAGGCCTCCTCAGTGGCACGGTCAAGCGACTGGACGGTATGTTCTCCTCGGGCCGCGGCAATCGCAAACTCATGTGCTACATGATCCTTGGACTCGTTATATTCTTTGTATTTGCATATCTATTGTTATCAAGAGTAACGGGTCACTGACAACTGCTTTACATGGATTGTGTAGTGGACACTGGAAAAAAAGACAATCGTTGCACGTTGGTGGTCAATTTGGGTTGGATGCCGATGAGGCGTGAATTTAACACAGGCTCACCATCAAGTGACAAAGTTACTCAGATTTAGTGCTAATTGCAGCTACTGCCAGCTAGCATTCTTCAGTGTCTTCGATCAGCCTCTGTTCCCTCACTCAATGATAACATACACGATTCACTGTCTTTAGAAGGCTCTTTAAAGCCCACTGTACTACTTATAGCTACTTGCGCCCTCTATATAGCAAACAATGCCCAGTCGGTGACCATTGGTCCCCCATGATCCCCTTTTTCTTAAGTTAATTGAGAGCTGATTTGATGGGATAACCACCTGTCAGTGACATTGCAGGGAGGTCTACTCCCCCTGGCCAAACCAGTACAGACGGGCTTTAATAGATGCTCCTCAGCCTTCATCTCTTACATTCTCCCTGATAAGGGACCCACCTCGTAGCTGTTTTTTAGTGGCGTTTATCTGGAAGTCCAGCTAGCATGATGTATAAGATGTAAGGCTGTAACTCTCATCAGTGAGACTTGACCATCATGAATTGATGGCCTGTGAATGGATGCTGATGCACTGACCATTCAGACGAGACTGTGATCAAAGCTTCAGAGGTTTTCGGCCCACTCTGGACGAAGGATGTCCCAGCTCAAATGTACATATTTAACTCAAATGCCCTGTTGGAAGTGAAAAATGAAATACAGTGTAGATAAATTATGTATGTTAACAGAAAGCTTATAAAATATAAGCCATAGATGGCAATGATATTAATTGTATGCTATTTAAGGGTCTGTCAGAGTTCTAAGTCTTCTTCTTCAAGGTTCAAGCTCTATGAGCTTTAAAAGCTTCTAGAAGAAATTCTCTTCTCTCTCTCTGTCTCTCTCTCTCTCTCTCTGTCTCTCTCTCTTTCTCCCTCTTCCTGTCCACTCCTTTTGTTTGGTTTTCTTCTTTATCTTTTATTCCTCCCCCTCTCTCACCTTTTCTCAGACTTGCAATTATAAGTTTGTTCAACTATGAGCAGGCGCGGATCCAGGATTTTGTAAAAGAGGGGTCCAACAAAAAAAGGTATTCACCTTCATAAAAAGGGTGCATATAATTATTGGGACTTGTGCATGTACTTTCGCAGAAAGAGTGTGTAGAATCTATAGATCTCTATATTATCTTACATTTATACTTCATTTGCATGAACCAATTACTTTGACATGGCTATTATCTGTATTTTGTCAAGCTTTGCTGTATTAAAGGCATCGTTTAACAATGTTAAATCTGAGATGCACGGTTCTACATGTTATCAATGTCTGTGATATGATGTAATATTGTTTTACTATTGTTTTACTATACTCGTTCCCCCTAATAGACTGTAGTGTTATGAAAACCATTAGGCAAACGCAAAATTTGGTTTTGATTTCCAATCATAAATATCTTGATAATCAGACAGGGGATCGGCTTGTAAAAGTCATGGGGTTCCTGACTGACCTAAAGGTTAATAATTATTGCAGCATGAACCAAATCAAGGATTTTGTTTCAGAATCTGAGACAAAGTTACCGGATCCCTTTAAAGTCATGCTCATATTTATTAACCCGTTCCTTCCGAAATTATTTAGCCTGATAGCCACCCCACAAACGAGATTAAAAATCGAAAACTCGACTCCTTCGCTGCCGTACAATACCGTGCGACTGTTCAGCGCGCGGAACAATGCGTGTGCGTTGAAGCGACCTAAAGCCTGGCCAGTCGCTTCGACGAGCAGGAACTTAGCGCATGCGCAGATCATTTGGCAATCTGCCGTGCTCTAAGTTCTTTCAGCTCTTCCGTACTGTAGGTTGTTTTTCTTCGTTATCTTTTTTTCCTCTTCTACCTACTTATTTTGTTCTTCTTTTTTCTCCTCCGTATCTATTTTTTTCCTTGTCACTCTTATCCCTCCTCCTTCTTCTTCTTTTTCCTTCTTCCTATACTCTTTTTTTATTTTGATACTCGATTTTATGAGAAAATACACAGTATATAAAAAGTAAACTATTTCAATGTAAGTTTCTGTTGCATCAAATTTAATTGAAATAGTTTATCAGCCAAAATTGACTGTTATAATTTACGTCTGACAATATAATGTAGCGAAAATATGTAAACATGATCAAATGAAACTCAAGAAGAATCCAGAACGGGGGGGGGGGGGAGGGGGGAGGTGAAAGGAGAGCCAAAATAGCATACTAATAAATACAGTACAGACTATATAACGATGCGCCCAACTTTCTCTCTCTCTCTCTCTCTCTCACTCTATAAAAACCGTTCATTATACTTTATCTCTCTCATACTGTTTTCTGTTCCACGATTTCCGAAAGCACGTTTCGACATATAAATAAGAATTGTTAAAAGTAAGAGTTTGGATATAAAAATATCTCTTATGCAAAAAATAATATGACACAATCTTTTTTGACAGAACTAATATACGTCGGACGAAGGAAATAACTCCTTGGTCGGACATTATACTTTAGCGAATTTTGTTTATTTTTTTTAATTTGTTTTAAAGAACTAAAGAAACATTCTGAATGGGGGGGGGGGGGGTGATCAGATAGACAACTATTATAATTACAGTACAGACTACGTCCAACGTTCTATCTCTCTCTCTCTATCTGTCAATGTTGTTCCGCCATTTGCTTGTATGCCGGCATCATTCCTTCTTTGATGATGATGATGATGAAAACATACATCTTAAATACTAGGGAAAAAAATAGAGAACGAGCGGCTGATAATGTCAAAATGAATATCACTGTACACAAATTATAGAAAGTAAAAGTTTTGATTTTGAATGTAAGTCTCTGTTGCATCAAAATAAAATGAAACGTTCATTATATCGACGGAAATAATATACATCAGACATTATACTTTACCACAAAAGGGTCATCTAGAAGTAGGTGGATAACATTATAAGAGAAAGAAGAGAAAGAATGAAACTTTCTCTTTCAAAAACAGAAGAATAATGGAGAGGGAGACAAGGACACATACACAATAAATAAATATAAACAAGATAGGATTCTAGAGCGGAAAATGATATAGGGGAAACAAAATAGTTCGGAAGTATTGCCTAGAGAGCAAAATAATTATTCTGTTTTATTTACTAATGTAAAGCGCTTTGATCATGTTTTATGTAAAGGCGCTATATAATATCAATATGTATGAATATATTGGCAAATTTTGACAATTATAGTTTGTAAGTATGAATTGACAAAGTACGTACAAATACAAATGACACAGAAATGTCTGCAAGTATTTGGGACCTATATAGAATATGTGAAAAGAGCTTTATCTTTGTCTTTGGCCCATGATCCCACAACTTAGTTACGTAAGAGGAACAAAGAACGTTGACGGATGTAAAGGTTGTTGTCATGGTTATAAACCCCAACAATAGAAGAGCGGAAGTAAGGTAAGGGTATAATTGAATGACAATGACCTGGCTTACAGCATTGATGATCCTACATGTATAACCCTGGTTATTTTGTGTGTGTTTTTTTTGGGGGGGGGGGAGTGGGGTCTTGTTGTTTTTGCAATCATTCAAAGATAATATCAATCATACAAGATAAAGGAATGAACAAGAATATATGATATGCTAAAATGTAACAGACAAAAAGATGATGAGAAATGATTGTTTCTATCTCTTTTTTTTCTCTTTTTCACTCTCTTTATGTGTCTCTCTCTCTCTCTTTCCTCTCTCTATCTCTCTCTCTCTCTCTCTCTCTCTCTCAAACTCTCCACTTTCTCCCTCTCTCTCCGTCTGTCTCTCTGTCTATCTGCCAATGTTGTTCCGCCATTTGCTTGTATGCCGGCACCATTCCTTCTTTGAGATTAATTATTATAACATAAAATTATCCCTGATGATGTACATTATTATACCTTATATTTATTATAGGGAGCGAAAAAGAAAACGAGCGGCTGATAATGTCAAAATGAGAAGAATATTACTGTACGATATTTATACAAAATAAAAACTTTGAATGTAAATCTCTGTTGCATCAAACTGATATAAACAAATTGTTATTATGCTATATTGACGGTACTATTATCCGTCGGACATTGTGCTCTAGCCAAAAGATATAAACAAACAAAAAAGAGAAAAACTAAAGAAAAAATCTGAGGTTTGTGGGGGGGGGGGGGGTAGTCGGTGAGAAAAATATCATAATAATAAATACAGAACAGACTACGTCAAACTTTCTATCTATTCTGCCCCCGCCCACCCTCCTCTCTCTCTCCCTCTCTCTCTCTCCCTCTCGCTGTCTCTCTCTCTATCTCTCTTTCTACGTTGTTTTCCATCTTCATCTTTCATGATGTTGTCTACTATTCCGCCATTTACTTGCATGCCGGCATCATCCTTTCCTTGAGATTAATTATTATAACATATCCCTGATGTTATACGTCAGACATAATACTTTAGCGAAAAGAAATAATCAAACAAAAAAAGAAACGTACACAAAAGAAAAACAATCAGAGCTGGGGGGGGGGGGGGGATCGGAGATAACTTTCTATCTCCCCCTCTTTCTCAAATAATTTATATTTCCTCTCACATATACCTTAGTATAGGGAACGCTATAGAGAGTGAGCGGCTGATAAAGTCGAAATGAGAAGAATATTACTGTCCAATACTTATAAAAGTAAAACTTTTGAATGTAAATCTATGTTACATCAAACTGCTATACAAAAATGTTTATTATGCTATATTGACGTTACTATACGTCAGACATCATACTTTAGCCAGGAAATATAAACAAACAAAAAGAGAGACAAACTAAATAATAAATCTGAGCTTTGAGGGGGGGGGGGGGGGGTCGGTGATACAAAATGTCATAATGATAAATCCAGCATACACCTGATCAAAACTCGTTTTCGGAGACTAAATCGAGTACAACCTCGCGATCTTGCTTTAGACTTATAATACTGCTTGTTGTTGTTGACAATAGAGAGCTGACCTTTGGATTTTCCTTTCATGTGCAGTGAAGTGCATTGTTCCGCGCGTGCCGCGTGCCGTTATAGGCTTTGGCTTTGCGCTGCTCCCAATTGAAATACCAGCAGTATTGGTATTCTGTGCATGGAAGGTCTCAGCGAAAGTCAATATCTGTGGGACAGACATCGCGGAGCTCCAATACGCTGCTGTACGAATTTCATGTGAGAGAAAACTTGACATGCTTATGAAAAAGTACAAATATAATGAGTAATATTAAAGTAAACAAAACAGGAGTAATGGATAATGATAGCATATACTTTGGATAAACCCTCACATCCACTAGTTTAGTGAATTAATGGCAGGGAAAGGCAATTTTAGGCTTGTAAAGACGTCGTCTACCTGCCTATTATGGGAACCTGGTATACCAGGTTCCCGTCTGTGAGTAGGCTCCACGGGAGCCTGGTATACCAGGTTCCCGGAAGGAACGGGTTAACTGTGAATTGATGGTCTGTTTGGGTAATATCACCATCAGCATGGTTCTTTGCTTACATGTAAGCTGAAACAATATATCCTTTTTTATTTTCTTAGGAAAGCATGGACATAATTTGCATTACTCGACTCTATCTTGACAGTGGTGGTGCTAGCCATTAGCAGTTAGTAACAATCATAGATAGTCTTACTCTTCTTTGACACTTAAAGATAAAGTTGAGTTCTGGTCATGTGATTGCATTGTAAAAGAAATGATGTGGAATCGATCAGAAAAGTTGATCATATAGCATATAAGTAATTAATTATGTGTGTGTACTGCAAGGTTCTGGAGTCATCCAAATGATAAGAAAATTTGGCCCAGTCTTGGTAAAGTAACAAGCACTGTACACAGAAAGATTCACATGGGACTACACAAACCTGTGGCATACAAAATCGGGCCTCATTTTGTTTAGCTTTTGTCATTTTTAGAATATGAAAGCATTTGAAGAGCCATGCTTTTCAAGAAACATTTTTTTCTCTGATGTTCTTCCACACTTGCATAATAACAATGATAACACTCACAAATTATTTGTCACCTCTCCCCAGAACTCAACCTTCTCTTTAAAAACAGATACATGAAATTTCAAACTGTCTTATTCTCTCAAGTCTCTGACTACTTCAAATAGAGCAGCTACACCACAGGGCCCTGTATCATAAAACCTGTTATCAATAACAAATGCTACATTTCTATCACAATTCTGCTCTCAGCCAATCACTGTTACCGTTACTTGTTTGTGATAAGTTTTTTTAAACGGGGCCCAGAACTGATGATTTGCTGTCTCTGTATAATGTACAGTAATATGTCCCTGACTTTCTATGTCTTCGATGATCAGCTGTATGCTTTACCAATAGCTCACACAACTTTCAAGCAGGTTTTAAAAGTGTGATTTGTCTTATTCACTGAGAATTTACTCTGCACAAACGGTTTTAGCTTTCCATCCACATGTGGTGCCGGTGGCCATATTTTCTTTTCAAATTTTCAAGTTTAGTCCCCCCCCCCCCCCCCCTCCCCGGGTCATCAATTGGAATATCATTCATAAACTTTAAAACGTTAGGTTCCCCCTTTCTTTTTCTTTTTTGAGGGAAGGGGGGGGGGTGATACCTGCTACCCCTTAAACACCTTAAAATATGGAAAGCTCCAAAAAAGGCTGGCAAGATTCATAAAATCATCATATTCCAAGGATAAATATCCACCAGCTAAAATTTGCCTACCCGTTTGTCATCTGCCACTGCATACATGGTTTCTAGGGGGAGGGGGGGGGGGGGTGACTGGAATACAAAGGTCATCCTGCACAAAAGTTTGACCAGATTGTTTTAGAGGGGGGGGGGGGTGCTTTTTTCATATTTCTTAGTTTATTATCCTTGAATCTTCTTATTTTTGTTACTTGTATAAATACATAATACACTTTAAAAGGGTTTATGAAAAAATGTCATATTATATCTATTTTACTGTGATTATTAAGACACTTTGAAATGATTTATGAAAATAATGTTCATATTATATTTATTTTTGGGAACCTACAAAACCAAGCTATGCTTTCCAGTAGGTTCCTCTTTCATTTCATGATTTCGAACCTACTTTGACAACTCTGTTCTTTATTGTGCAAACAATTGACATGTTAATGTAATAAAATTCGAATCTATCAATCATAAAGACATTAACAAAAAAACGTAGCATTTGTGGCTTGGGTACGTGTTTTGTATGTTTGTTGGATATTCTCTCAAATTTGTTATGAGGTTTATTGGGAAAGCTTGAGATGAACATTATTAGTGATGATGACGATGATTGTTTTACCCGATTGTTAAAGAAACCATGTATATGTAAACAACCAAGAAGAGAGTGTTGTAGGTCATACAGAGAAGGGTGAGATGTAAGAAATAGAGCTTCCTTGTATATTGTGTGTTTTCCTAAGTGCCATAATATTAAAGCCCCACTGTACTACTTAAAGCTACTTGCGCCCTCTATATAGGAAACAATGCCTAATCGGTGTATGTTGGTCCCCCGTGATCATCTCTGTCTTATATTAATTGAGAGCTGATTTGATGAGATAACCACCTGCCAGTGACCTGCAGATTCAGATTTTATTGTCCACGATTTTATTGTACAGGGAGGTCCAATCTCCCCTGGCCAAATTACTACAGACGGGCTCGAAGTCTCACAAAAGGAGTCGCTCTTGAAATGACCTCATATTTGAAAATACTTCTAAATTCGGATGCAAGTAGGCTTGTTGGTTAATTTCCAAACACTATCATTACACGGCTCTTTTAGTACATACATTTAATTAACTTTTTCCAATGACATCTTAAGCAGGTTTCTTTACCATAAATCACATTTACGAGTACTCTCGAAACTTGAGATCTCGAAATCTGGAATCAGATAAAGAAAGCCGCAATAACAAAACCAAAACGAAACACCGAGACTTTGGAATAAGTTCGTGATAAGAAGTGACATGGGACACACAAATTAGCTGAACTATACGTATACATCTACATGTTTTGATCAGCACATATTATTAAGGTAGGCCTTATATACATGTACCTTTCTTGTGATAGGTATGATATGCCGCAAATAAAGTAGTAAATTAATGAAGTAAATTGATATATATCTATATATCTATATATCTTGCCATGTTTTGATCAGTACATATTATTAATAAAGGCACAATGTGCGTTTCTTGTGATAGGTATGTGCATAATGCCGCAAATGAATTAGTAAATTTATAAAATAAATAAATTAATATATATCTATATATCTGTCCCTTTTTCTTATCAGTACATCATTAATGTGGGCCTAATGCACGTTTTTTGTTATGACAGCGTATGACATGACGAAAATAAATTAGTTTTTACTGTCTCTATATGTTGCCAGTGTATGTGTATATATGCCTATTATTGAAGTATGAAGTGCATATCAGCTCAAAAAAGCTCAAGATTCTAGGACATACTGAACCATAACATAGTAGGTTGAAGTGACGAATTGAGAGGGGAGGGCAACTAGCCATTCTCCACCCCACCCCCCCCCCCCCGAACCCCATTTTGAAATCCATGAGTCATGCCTTCAGTAGCCTACATAAGTCCCAATATGATGCACCCGTTTTATGAAGGTGAATACCATATTTTGTTGGACCCCTCTTTTACAAAATCCTGGCTCCGCGCCTGCTTATATAGTTGAACGAACTTATAATTTATAATCCCTTTGACGTTGACACTTTGTGTTTCATATATCGTGCTTATAGTTACACAAACTTGAAATTCCCCGTTCCTTTGTTTGACACTTTGAACATTGGACTCATTTCAACTTACATTTCCCATATTATATCGCTTGCATGTTTGACACAAGGAAACGAGCTCTGAACAATAATGCAATGTCAAGTATGTGGAAGTACGTTGGACCGTTTAGTGTACAATCAGGTAACGCAGAAACGGAGCACCTGAACCGACCGTATTTATACTTATTTGCTCCCAAACATTTCTTTGAAAAGCACTTACTTTAAGATCATGGCGGTGAACGATGAACCCCCCGTGATCGGACTGCTTTCTTTAAATAACATGGACGAGAAGAAGGCGTCATTTATAGCTGAATACATCACTGGTAGCGACATAACTCCGGATTTGAAGCAGATTTGCTCTGAGGAAGTTCCCTTTTTCAGACCACCTCAACATTGGGATGCTGTATTTTTGTTTCAGCCGAGCCTACACGGAAGATTGTCCCTCCAGCTTAGCGATATAACCACCGCTCAGTATGATATTCTGATTCCCAAACTAGCGGAAGCCTATGGTAAGAAAGCTTTAACCCGTTGACTACTGAATTATGTAGTTCCTATAGGCTTAATACAGGGACCACCAGGTTCCAGTAAGCAATGGGTTAATTTGTACAGGATAATACAGACTTTCAAGAAATAATTTCAAAGATAATTTTAACACCGCATCGACTGCCTATACAATTTTAAAACTAAGTAAAATGTCATCCTTGTTTTCGATCATTTAAACTATGAAGTGACGCACAAGTTTTTTAAATGATTTTTGTGGTTTCTTTCTAATATATATTCTGCCCGTTGCAGACAAGTCATTACACGACGAGGTTCAAGGGTAATCACCACATGTACAATTATCCCCTTGCAATTACCGATCGGACAATTACCCCTGACGGTCAACTAACCCCGGACAATTACTAATATAACAATTACTTTACCCCAGGGCCCTGTTGCACAAAACTTACCATTGATGGTAACTTTGCCAACTACCGTGGTAACAGGGCTCGATCAACCAGTGACGGATCCAGGGGGGGGGGGGGGGGGCCTGGTAAAAAAAATGTGTATTTTTACATTTTTTAACATTAATTTTACTTTTTTTTACAGATGCCCCCCCCCCCCCTGGCGCTCAAGGGGGTAGGGGGTGCAGTTTTTCAAATTTTCGAGGACCAAAAAAAAAAAAAAAAATTCACGACCATGTCCACTAATTTCAAACTATTGGGATGAAATATATTTAATAGGTAGCACACGTTCGAATGTTAATATTCTGGGGGGAAAAAATGTGTATTTTTACATTTTTTTAACGTTAATTTTACCCTTTTTTTTGGAGATGAGCTCCCCTCCCCCTGGCACTCAAGGGGGGGGGGGTCGGGGGTGGGGGTGCAATTTTTCAATTTTTCGAGGTGCTCACTACCCCCCCCCCCCTTCCCCCCCCCCCCCCCCCCCCCCCCCCCCCCCCCACTGAGCAAAATATTGGTCAGCACGATTTTCATATTTCAGCACACTAAATTTCAAATTGATTTTAAATTTGCGCCCCCGCCCCTAAGAAATCCTGGATCCGCGCCTGCGATCAACAGCCAATCAAAATCAAGGCTTCCATGGTAGTTACCATTAATAGCAAAGTTAGCAACAATGGCAAGTTTTGTTTTACGGGCCCATGGTCGATCACCTCCTAGGATAATTACCCCGGCCGTAAGGACAATTACCTCCTTAGGTCAAATACTCCCTAGGACAAGTACCCTGCACAAAGCTACCCTGGGACAATGCCACTAAGACAAGACCGCCCCACCCTCCCCCGTCGTACAACTATACCCCTTCAAGGTAATACAAAGTTTTGGAAAAATTTGGATGTGGATGTATTTTAAGCACTAGAAAATTTAGCCCCTAAAACGCTTCTGCTTTCGAGAAAAATTGAATATAAAAATGTACTGGTGCTCCCGGTAAATTTTGATAAATTTCAAATAGCGCCTACATGCAGCCGTATAATAGTAGCTGCGACCATGAAAATCTCTGAATATGTAGTTGTGATACATAATTTCCAAACGGGAATAGCTAGTCGGTCGATTTTAGTCAAGAAACATTGTTTTATAGCTTAATTAATGTCTTGACCTTGAGAGGGAGCTATACAGCATAAGGAGGAAATTATTTATAATTTCATAACTTTAGACTTGATTTCAACCATGACAACGATCACTGAATATTGTAGGATCGCATATGCTTCCAATTTGTTCATTTGAACCAATTTCATGACCCCATACCAAAACTTTGTATTCCCTTTAAATGACAAATACCCCCTAGGAAAAGTACCCCCTCAGGGCAATTACCGCCAGAAAAACTGCCCCAGGACAATATAGCAGACGGCAATCGGCGGATTAGACGACACTTGGTAGTGAATATGTATTTGAGATTGCTTTGCTAAATATAAAATACAAGAAAATGTTCCATATCTCTAAACTATCATTGATATCTGATAATTAGGCAGTTATTACAATAAACCTACTAAACTACATAATACAATGAAATACTTGACTTAAAGTAGAGGAGTTTGATGTGGTGCACAATTGCACCCCTCTGTAAATAATCGAATAGTCCATGACGATCATGAATATTCATGATTTTGCTTACCTCGGCAAAATGCTTGCCTATACTCAATGAAAAATTACGGTGGGGGGGGGGGGGGAGGGTTGGCTGAAATGGACATAATGAACCGATCAGAACTGATCTATGATAATTCATGCTTGTTATCCTTCGTGTGCTCGACCTATAACCTTACAATCGCTGGGGCATATTGCGTCCAAAGTTCGACTTGTTTCACATGTGTTATATAGGCAATAGCGAGCTAGCAACCTATTTTGATCAAATTACGGTGGGTGAACTTTCAAAAGTCAATGAGACATGAGGGTTCCAATGAAAGAGCTAGTGTCAACGTACGTTGGGGTGGATGTGTTTTTCGTTTTAAAAAAAAAGAAGAAGAATTTTTAACGATTGTTTGGGTAAAAGTCAGTAGGCTAACATGTTAGGCTGCTGGACTCTAACGATATGGGTTGTTGTTCAATGAGACTATTCGGAGCCATATGCTAAATAGATAACTAAATAAAAATACCAAAAAACAAAAACAAACATGTACAAAATTACGACTTCAATTACTATCAATGTATTCCTTTATTTTTTTCAACGTGCACGCACGAGCGGACGCCCACTCGCACATCTACGTACGCACCCGCACTGTCAACGCACATACGTCTGTCTAGACACAGACGCATGCAAATTCACAAAAACATAGGCCTACAATAAACATTGGTACTACAAACCGCATTCATTTTCATTAAGAAAAATACAATTCAGACCATTAATTTTGTTTCTCTACACTGTTTCTGCCTGGGTGCCGCTAAAAGTAAAAAAAAAATCTTAGAATGAAACAAAAACAAATCCAAGCAAGGAGCTTATGATCAAATGTTCCGACAAGGCTGAACAATTGTAATCACAATCAAGAGTCTAACACGGAAGCAAACCTTTGTTGGATTACATATTTGCAGGGACGGCGATCCCGAGGGGGAGGGGGTTGGGGGACACGTTCCCTCCTCAATTTTTCAGGGGGGGGGGGGGGGGTCGTCCCCCGGAAAGTTTGAAAAAAGTGCACAACAAAAAGTTCATAGCAAATACTGACTGAAGACTGCAACAAACTTTAGACTCTGGAGGGCTCAAAAATGCAGCGTTTAGACAAATAAAAAATCTTCTCGCTCGGGAACTACGCTCCCTCTCATAATATCTTTCAAAGTGTACGAGTAAATATTGTAGAAAAGTGAAGTATGAAAAAGTATATACAACTTTGTTGGATTACAAATTTGTATAGCTTAAGCAAATTATATTAACATTAACTTCCCCAGGTTTTGGGGGGAATAAGTACGTACTTCCCCAAAAATGTAAGTTTAATTTCTGTTTCTGTATCTGGAAAAAATAAAATCACCATGGAGCCACATTAGTAATTAACAGATTCGCTCGTTCACACCCATTTATACACTAGCAATGAGTCGTAAGGGGGTGATTATCCTATGGTGATTGCACAGGGGGTTATTGTCCTCTCGGGTTATTTTGCTTGGGGTTGATGGTCCAGGTGGTTAATGTCCCAGGAGCTAATTATTTTGTTTCTTCTTTTTTACTTCTTCATCTCATGTGTTTTCTTTTTCTTTCTTTCTTCTTCTTCCTTTTTTCGGGCAGGAAATAGAGCAATCGGGTTCATTGTTTGTGGCGTAGAGGGAGTAAATAAGAAATCCCGAGCTCAAGAATTCGAAGTGTTGAAGAGAAATCAGCCATCACTTGTTCAGTATACATCTGGTATTGTGATCTTCTGCACGAAGATAGATACAATTCTCAAAGAAGACTCGAGCAGAATAAAAACATTTATCATCAGGATCAGTGAGGTTTGCTTCTCGAGGAAAGAGGAAATATCGCGACAACAATATTGTCTCGAGGTACGTGAGATTAGTTTAAAACCCCACTGCATGACTTATAGCTACTTGCGCCCTCTATATAGCAAACAATGTCTTATCGGTGACCGTTGGTCCCCCACTATCCCCTTTTTCTTATGTTAATGGAGAGCTGATTTGATGTGATAACCATTTGTCAGTGACCTTGCAGGGAGGTCTAATTCCTCCATGATAAACTGGTGTAGACGGGCTTTAAAAAGATTTTTTTTTCCAATAAAATAATGATAACTATAATAAAAATGATATATTTGACTGGACAATCCTAGCGCTCCATAACCATTACACCCGGCTTTGGCATGGCACCTATTTAAAGGTGCTAATATCAGGTGCTGCGTATTAAAGGAGCTGCACTTTTCTTGCTATTAATAGTGGCAAACACTTATGCAGTGCAGTAGGAAGGGTGCTTTAAACAAGTGCTAATCAATGAAGCCTAGTACATGAAGAGCTTGACAATTTTTCATTTCATATGCATATTGTTTGAAGAAAATACACGTTTTGTATAGGATTGTGTCTAAGCCTACTTAAAAATAAATTGAATGATCTGTTGTGTCAGTCTGCGTACCAAATGTATTCTTAGTTCACAAACCAAATGAAATATGATTGAGATAAGACATTGGAAAGTGAGTGTGTAATTGTTTTGATTGATTACCTATTGTGATATATAAAATATTTGTTATTATAATAATAGCAATTTTGCATAATATATGTTAATCTCGTGTAATGCTTTCTGTATGTGAGGCTGATAGCGCGTGTCTGTTTATCGAAACCACAAGAGTAAAATGGTGCAGTCACTATGCGGACACTTGAAAAGTCGGATTTTCTCTTCAGGGTCTTTTATCAAATTTACAACATAATCATGATAATAAACAAATCACGTAATTATGTTTAACTTACATTGTGATATTAACGTCAAATAATCATGAAAAAGGATTACCACATAAGCTCAGCTTGAAGGCGAGGCTATACCTGTATAGAGCTTGATAATCCTATATATAAACTAATGTTCGGGAATGGGGGTGGGGGGGGGGGTGTTATGAGAAGATGACAGGAGGAGGTGACAAAAGTGATGGCTGTGCTGTAGAGATAAAAGAGAATGAGACAGAAGGCAGAAGTGAGAAGTGAATGAAGGTGCTGAAACTAGCTCCCCCGGTGCTAGAAATAGCACCCTTAGACGCTTAAAGTGACTAAGTAACAATGTTGAAGGTTGATCAAAAAGTTGCATAATTGTGGTATGAAATGTTACTTATTATCTTCATTCTCCTGTTCTGACCCTCTAACACGCAAAAAATCCTGAGAAAATTCTCAAACCACAAAGATATTAATGGTTTTCTTAGAAGGCATCACTGTGCAACATCCTCTAAAAGTGTTTAGCAGTAAATTCTCCCAACCACTTTTTAAATTTTCCCAACCGTGTTTTCCTTGAAAATAAGACAAAAGACAGGCTTGTAAAAATCTGTCAACACTTAAACGTCTGGGATGGTATACAGTGTGAGTCAAAAAAAGTTTACACCTAGATGATTGCTTATTATTTTAAAAATCATCTATCAACAGTAAATTATTATATATCTTATGAAGTAATGTTTTATCCCGAATCATTTGGTACCATTTTCGAGTGGTATGTGTTCACGCTTGGATAAACAGGAGGCATTGTTTGAAAGAGTGCAAAAATCGACTTGCGCCAAAGTTGCATAAATTTTTATGTGATGTTTGAATAAAACAATTGGGATTTGGGTATTAATTCGGCCTTTCCAGATCCAAATAACATCCCTAACAAAATTAATAATGCCACACATATCAAACATCGAATATCAAATATCAACGAACATTTGTGCGCGTGTGTGTGACTTTGCTCATTGCAAAAAGCATATGCAATGCATTTCATTTGATACATTCAATTCATTCTCTCACTCCGCTAATCCCATCATAATACATACTGTAGGAATCACTTTGGCGTAAGTCGATTTTTGCACTCTCGCAAACAATGCCTCCTGTTCATCCAAGCGTGAACACATATCACACAACAATGATACCAAATGATTTGAGATAAAACATTCTTTCATAAGAGGTATAATAATTTACTGTTCATAGATGATTTTAAAAATAATTAGCAAATTTTCTAGGTGTAAACTTTTTTTTGACTCACACGGTATAGAGCCAATTCAATGTTTTGTGACGATTTACATTCACCTAAAATGTTTTCAAATTGTATTAATATAGTTCGAGAATTAAGGTATCGATCCGATCAGTTTTTTCCCAATTGTTATCGTTAATAATGGTCTGTTTTCACTCAAATTTTGAGATTGTATTTAAATGTACATCTAGCATTGAAGTCACTACCTTAGCACCATTTTCTCTCATCTTTACAATTATACCAAGTCCATTTAATGTGAAATTAGTAGCATTTTTAGGTACTCTTTTGGGTTGCACCTGCACTTGTGCTACGTCAGCACTGCAGGTGCATTCACTAAATGTGCCGCCAAAAGGGCTTTTTGCCCTCGAAATGCTAGAAACAGCACTTTACCTCACCTGGGTCGAGTGTAACAAATGTAGATTAATGTACTGTCACGTGACGGTATTGCTGTGATCAATATTTATGTGTCTTCGATGTTTACTGTTCATGTTATTTAGCTATCCACCCGTGAATCGGCTGGCCACAATACAACGTATCGACTGGCTCAAATAGAAAACCCATCATAAAACCAAAACCGGTTGCAGATTCTAAATGGTTTTAATAGACGACCGCTCAGGTATCGGGTAAGTTGTTCTAATTGTATTTTTTAAAGGAAAGAGACAAGACAGTACTTAAAAAAGAGAGAAAATATCTTGATGTCAAAAGCAACCCCCATTAAAAGAAAAATATTAACGGTTAAACAAAATGTTAAAGATATAGTCAAATAACAGAAAAATTCCAAAGTCCTAACTGATTATTTACAATTCCACCAACAATTCATGTTTTAAGAAAACACAGAAAAAAACATTTGCAAATAACGTGAATTAAATCATAATTATGTTGACTATTATTCGATTTACTTGTGACGTCTCAGGTAGAAGCAGATATTATACTGGTAATTCACCCCACCCCACAACACACACACCCTCTCCCCACATTTTGAGGACAAAACAACCGCTTGTATTCCATTCCCTTCAGACTCGGGCTTTTCTGTTGACTGTTGAAACTGAATCTCCTACATTGGTAATTTTAACAGATTCGGATAAATGACCAAATAGATGTGTGCTCTGAGATGACGCCGCTGCTGCACCAAACATTTCCTTGAGTGCCTTTGATACGGAAAGGCAGGTAGCATATTGTGTAGATGATTAGATTTGCCCAGGAGTTGAGGAACATGAGGTTGATCAGACAAGAACTAGCGGGCTCCAGATAAAGGCCAGGTGACGGGCAAAACGCTCAGATTAACCAGAACATAGGCCGTCACGTTTGGGGTTTAGCAGATGATGTAAATGCTGACAAGAACCAACATTAACTTAAAGACTGTGTTGGGGGCCAAAACATGAAACATTGGCTTGTCGGTGTTCTGGATCTGTGTTTTCTTGGCGTTCAAGTGTTGCTTGTGTCGGAAATAAGCTGTCAGGGCTTACGTATGGGAGAAGAGTAGAACTAGGGAGGATTACAGTAACTAGACAACTGACGATCCTAATTGGGGGGAACGATACTCGGACCTGCTTGTTAAAGACAGGTGCATAGCGCGGTGTAAGCTAAAAGACGAAAAGACTAAACAAAGCCGATTTAGATTCCATACACAGGATTATTATGTTACTCTTTATTTTCTTCATACACGAATTCTTATCTGTTAGCCCATGAAATGAAATAAAGTTTTTAAAGGTTGTTTCATACATTTAAGAGGAAATTAGAGGAATACCTAATACTTGACAGTCAGAGAAGAGAAGTGAATGACATGTTATAATGATTGAAATTTGTATTCTTCTGCCGGTTCATACTTTTTCATTTTGTATATACTTATGTTTTCGTACGTTATAGAAATTCTACAAATTCATCATGATTTTCCTCTTCTCCCTCCTCCTCTTTTTCTTATTCTCCTTCTTCTTTTTCTTCTTGTACTTATTATCATTTCTATCATCAGTTTAATGTTGTTATTATTATTATTATCTTGAATAAGATATTATTTTATTTGTCTGTAGATATTACTATTTTTAACTCATTAATTGTAAGGGACCCCACTGAAAATAAGCTCTCGAGCTTTCGTGGGTTATACTGTTCAAGCTGACTTATTTTTGATCTGTTATTATTGTACATTGTTGTATGGTGGAAGCTTGTCGAATAAAAATCAATCAATCAATCAATCATTCTAGCAGTTCATACATCTAGGTGATTGGTCCGCTTCAATGTGATTTTGGCACTCGATCAGCAGATGCTTATCTTTTGTAGATGGTTTTGTTCTCACTGTCTGTTTCTCGGATTTGTGTTTTCCATTTTCTCTGCTTTCTCCTCCCTCTCCTGTTTATCACCCACGTGTCCTCTCAACTTATCCCTATATCTCCTTTTCGGTCCAGCTTCTACTCACACTTTCTGTCCGAAGATGTTATCATCTATTTACATGTACTTCGTATGGAGCTTAAATTGCTTACCCAGGGAAACCTCATCAGCATTAATGTTGTCCCTCACGAAAGCACTGGAATTACCTTTACCACAGCAGTATAGTCAAAAACCCATTTAGACCGGGGTGGAGAGAGCCAAATGTGGATTTATGTCTTGCCGAAGGACATTAGTACTAGGCTGGGATTCGAACCAACGACCCTAGGATTGAGGGTCAAGTTTATAATGAACTGTATTTCCCTGTTTCCGAGCCAGTGTTTGCCACCATCTCTCCCATCTCTCCCCCCCCCCTTCCGTGTATGTCCCTCTCCTTCTCTCTCCCCACTCTCTCTCTCTCTCTCTCTCTCCCTCCCCCTCTCGCTCTCTCTCCAATCTTTCTCTCTGTTGCAATCTTAGTCCTCTCTCTCACTCTTTCCCTTCCACCTACCTTTCAAAAACATGGAGCTTGCATTCTTCCTTGTTGCGGTCCTAACTTACATCACAATATACCTATACACCAGAAACATAGTACTCGTTTAAAGGTAGACTCAAATGCAAATTGTTAAATTGTAGTAGTATAATTCTATAAAGTGTTTATTTCAATATTGTAAATATTTATGTAGAAACATTCTACAACTATTAAAGGTACTACGTCCCATTTGCAGCCAACATCATATTCTTTTGAACTTTGCAAATATTATGAATTTGTAACGTATGTCCTATCTGTGAAATTCAAACGTTGGCAGTGTCCTAGTATTCAAATTATACAAGGAAACCCGTTTACCTTCTAGACTTCACTGTCAGACAATATTGAGTGACTGAATGACCTTCATTTTTTCTGGTTATAACATACATGAAATAAGCTGTAAAGGGTACATGATCATTTGTCTACATCAATAACCCACTTATTGTAATGGCCATAATAAAACTGTTTGAATCTTTGCGCAACACAAAACTTACACCATTCGTAAAAATGTTTGCAAATCAGACATTTAACTAAAAGGATTGCAAATCCTAAAGTCGATTCGACTATTAACGGTCGTTATTTTCCGACAAAAAGACGTTTTGAGGGGAGCTCTAAATCAATATTTGTTTCCACTGACCGTTGAATCAAACCTTTTCATTTTTTGGCCTGCAAAATAAGGACATAGTACCTCTTAGCCGGCGGGCTTCAATGAATGTTTGTTAATAAACAAATCATTTTTATCACAATTCTACGTTTTAAAATAACTTTAAAATAATGCAGCTAACCTCTACCCCCTTTTTTTGCAGCGAAACTGCGGATTAATAGACAAAAATATATGAATAGGTTTATATTTGTCACCCTGTGAAAAAGAAGTAACAGATCTACAATAAGCAGGTTATTTACAGCTATAGCTTACCTTAAACAATATAAAAAATTATATGTGGCAAACTATAACAGGTATTATTGACAGAGATCCCCATTATATTCCGATTCATGATTTTAAAAAATCAATTATTTCCTTCTTATGATAAAAAATGGAATAGATATTTACAAAATGTGGGGAGGAAGAAAGTGAGATTCCCCGAAAGCGCGAGGCTTGTGATTGGATCACAAACACGCATAATTAAACAAAACTTAATGATCTACAGAAATATCTTTGAAGAAGAAACATAAAAGAGGAAAACAATCTAACAACCGATTCAGAAAAAAGTTTTAAATTCCATACGTGCTACGAGTTGTATTGTACAAAGATTAGTTATTACAAATTATATCAGCAAGAGTAAATATGGGGTAAAGGGCAACTTTTGACAGATAACAATGATAACAATGATTATAATCAACGATTGATAACATTTAAAATGTTACCATAAGAAGACTATTCCATTGAGCTTACCAAAAATTGACTTTACACAATACAGAATTTACATAGGCACATGGACCACCACAATGAACAACGGCTACATGTTACAACAGACGCACATGTTAACATATGAATTGTCTCCCCAAATCTCCAAATTACTATGAGAACACATATAAATAAAATTTCATGTAAAATGTTTTGCCATTCCTTATATGCACACCAAACTGTACACCTATTGATAGTAATCCCATACTTTTCATTAACAATCAACACAAATAAACTTTATTTTAAATGGTGTCCCGCATACCAGCTAATATGATATATAATACCACTACAAGAATACAGTAACACGCAGTACAACATTGGCTTGATCAAGCATTATGTTACCTCTATAGATAGCTACGTTCTCAAAACTCTGGCTTACTTGTTATTCCTAGGGTTAACACAAAGTGGGGGAGCGAGTCTTCGCCCAAGCTGGGCCATCATTATGGAACACGTCCCTCAATGGATTAAGAATAGCAGTTCTGCTGAAGTGTTTAAAATAATCTTAAGAAACATCTGTTTAATTATCCTATAATTGATTACCAATACATTTCATGTCCGTCGCTTTCCTACTATACTGTTGTCTATAGTATCATGTATTTCATTTCTTGCACAAGCTGCGCCTTGAGCATTTGAGTATCAAGTTGATTTTGTGCCTTACAAATCATATGTATTATTATTATTATTATTATTAACATTACACATTTGTATGCCTGTTTGACTTGTATTTTCTGTCATGCTTTATATAAGCCCTTTCAATTATCACTGCAATACTCACTTGATTAAAAAGTGATCTATGTATATTGATATTGCAGGAATTTATGTAACAGTAACACTACGTTTCTAGTAGGGTCAGTTAATTTTATATCACGGCAGACCAAAATCACATTCGTATATCATTTTGTCAGTGATTTGAATCACTTTCGTATATGTACATATATATATATATATATAAAACATTACAGTCAAACCTGCTTTAGAAACCACCTGTCTACAAAGACCACATTTGTTTTCCTTAGGAAATGGTTTCTCACTAAAACATGTACTAAAGGAACCTGTTTCCAATGACTACTTTATTTGAATTCCTTTGAATAGGCTATCGCTATAGACAGGTTTGACTGTATATCTGCAAGATATAAGCATGTAACACTAACATAACTTACAAGAACGAAGATGGATTCTTAGTTACTTCATTACATGCTTTGTTACATTTTAGAGCTAAATCATCTTAATTACGGGGAATTTCTTTTAAAGGGCACATGAAGAGGAGGTAGAGGGTAAGGCAGCATGACAAGGAAGTCGTATGACCCCTTTTCACCCTCGATGACCTTTTAGTTTCGTAGTTCATCTACTTATTGAAGGTAAATACTACCTAAATAACTTACTTATGTCATAGAAAACCGAAACATCAGACGTTTCTTTCACAATGCAATCGCGTGACGATAACTGGTCTTTATCTTTAAAGGCCACATGAAGTGTATTATCAGTAGCGTACCTGCCCCTAATCGAATTGAGGGCTGTAATGCATGATTTTTAATAAAAAAAAAAAAAATCATTTTTATCACAATTCTACGTTGTGTAACATGTTTCTTTTATATAAAGCAGCTACCCTATACAATTTATTATGTGGCAGCGAAACTGCGGGTTAATAGACAATAAATATATGAATACGTTTACGTTTGTCATTCTACTAAAGAAAACCAAATCTACATTAAGCAGGTTATTTACAGACCTAAACAAATATAAAAATGATATATGACGAGCTATAACATGTATTATTGACTGAGACTGGTGTTCTATAAATGGAAATAAAATCCACATTAGATTCCGATTCATGATAAAAAATACAATTATTTACAAATTCTGAGGAGGAAGAAGGCAAAATTCCCCGACGGCGCGTGGCTTGTGATTTGGTCGCCATTGTATGCAAACACGCATAATTATACAAAACTGAATAACTATGATCTACACAAATACCTCTGAAGAAGAAAAAGAAAAAAACTAAAAAGAGTTTAAAATTTCTTATGTGCTACGTATTGTACAAAATTATTTATTAAAAATTATATCAACAAAGTAAATATGGGGTTAAAGGGATAGTTGAGTTTTGTTTCAGACCGCAAATGCCTTCAAAGTGCATGGTTATTATCTTATTCTTATCTATGACATTTCTAGTGCCCATTTAGGACCTAAAGTTGCTATAAAGGTGATTGTAGACCCCGAAATGTGTGATATTTAGCCAATATAATCATACCAAATCAGTTCCACTTTCCAAAAAATACGGTGACCATTAATTGATTAACTAATAGTAACAACTCATGTGCCGGCTGTTTATGCGTAATATAACCAACACAAAATGGCCAACAAAAAGCCAACATCGGCATTGACTGAAATACAACGTAAAAGGCGCTATTTAGTTTTTCAACGGCAGGTTTCAATAATCAAATATTTGTGCTGTAACACAAATATTAGAAATCGTTATACTTATGAATATTTCATCCGTCTCTGAACCAATTTTGATCAAAGAAAAATGATTTTGTCATTTAAATTGTATGTTCTTTCAAATTTGACACTCATTTTTTCATTTCATCTCACACAAAAAAAATGTGTAGCGCCCTCTGCAACAAAACTCAACGATCCCTTTAAGGGTAACTTTTGACAGATGATGATAACAGATAATGATAACAATGATTGTAATTAACAATTGATAACATTTAAAATGTTGCCATAGAAAGACTATTCCATTCAGCTTACCAAAAATCGACTTTACAAAATACAGAATTTACATAGTCACATCAACATAATTATCGGGGACAAAAAAAAACACTACAGCGAACATCAGCTACACTTAAAACAAAACTGACGCACATGTAAAAATTCAAATTTCTCCCAAAATCTCCAAATTACTACGAGAACACATATCAAAGGCCTGTATACAAAAATATATCTCTCTCATATCTTTGCGTAACTTTCATGCAAAAAGTTTTGCCATTCCCTATATGCAACCTAAAACTGTACAACCCATTGATAGTAATCCCATAATATTCATTAACAATCAACAAAAATAATCTATATTTAAAATGGTGTCCCGCAAACCAGCTAATATGATATAAAATACCACTACACTTTGTCATGCGTATATGACTTGTATTTTGCTTTATAAGCCCTCTTTCATTATCACTGCAATATTCGATTAAAAGTGATCTATGTCTGGTTATATTGAAGGAACGTATTCGTTTCTAGTAGGGTCATATGATGTTATATCACGGCAGATCAAAATCACAATCTTATTACATTTTTAAAGTAATTTGATGCAATTTCATATATATAAAACATAATACAGTCAAACCTGTTTTAGTGACCACCTGTCTACAAAGACCGCATTTTTGGTTTCCCTTAAAAATTGTTTCTTATTGAAACATGTACTAAAGGAACCTGTCTTCAAAGACAACCTGTTTGCAAATGCCAAATTTGTGTGTTTTCCTTCAATGGGAGGTTGCTATAGACAGGTTTGACTGCAAGATATAAACATGTAACACTAACACAACTTACAAGACTTTAATTACACTTACAAAAGATCGAAGAAGGATTTTAAGTTACTTCAGTACATGTTTCGTTACACTTTAAAGCTTAATTCATCTTAATTACGCGGATTTCTTTTAAAGGGCACATGAAGTGTATCATCAGTAGAGTACCTGCCCTTAATCCAATAGAGGAGGAGGTAGAGGGTAAGGCAGCATGACAAGGAAGTCGTTTGACCCCTTTTCACCCTAGATGACCTTTTAATTTCGTAGTTCATCTACTTATTGAAGGTAAATACTACCTAAATAGCTTACTTATGTCATAAAACAACCGAAACATCAGACAAAGTACTCTAGTGAAACCTGACCAAAAAGTGAAAAAGAAAAAAAAATATCAAAGGTATAGATTTTTGAAAGTTATAATCACTTTACGTATTGAAATTTGTTGAAAAGTTGATGTGGACCAATGTGATGAGGTTCGGGACAACTTTCCCGTTATTTCCAACTAATAAACTTACACAAATCGATTTTTTTGTGTGTGTTTAATGGTACAACTCGGGAGTTTCTTTTTCCTTTCACATGACCTACAATAATATGCTTTCCATAATATATTTCAGTAGTGGCCCGAGGGAGGAGCCACTTTGGGGAAAACAGAAATTAATGATATTTTTGTACAAGACAAACGGGAGAGAAATTGTTCATGAAAAAAGCACGATCTAATGACAACATTTCCAAAGTTAAATGTCATGATTCAAACATTCAAACCACTTTTATTTTTGTCTGTTTTATTTTATAATTCCGTTTTTGTTAATTTTCTACTTTCATTAAAAAAACGCACTACAAAGGTTGGATTATCCTTTAAGTATGTAGCCCTTTGACTTGGGGGTCACTCGCTTTTCCTAAAGCTCATAATTCCGTTGGTTCATGAATTCGAGTTACAAACTTCCCATACCCAATTATAGCAGGTAGTTCATTATACCGAAAATGAAATAGCGTTCATAATTCAGAAGATTCGTTATTTGGAAAAGTTGATGAGGTTCTATTTTTTATTTTTGAAATGATATGCCTTTGAGATTATAGACGCCTTTCATTTCCGAAGTTATGAACCCTAATTTCATTTTTAAGCTCAGACTCTATGTTGAACTAGATGGCCATATCACTGAGGATGTCAACATTTACATCTACCTAGGACACATCACTGATGATGCCAGATGCAAGGTAGACATCTAACAAAGGATAGAAATAGCAAGAATAATGTCCAGGCGATTAAAGACTTATTTACAGCAAGAATGGTGAAATTCAAACTTAAAATGAGACTTACATATTCCTAGGTATGTTATGTTCTATTGTATGGAGCAGCAACGTGGACATTAATAATGAATAAGGAAATTGGGTAAACTGGAGAGTGATGAGAATGTCATGGAAAGATGTGAAAATTGATAGAGAATAAAGAAAAAAAAGATTGTTGAAACAAAATATCCTTATAGGAATGGTTTATGCAAATAGCAACACCAAGAACTAACTGGGAGGGGAAGATTAAGTCATGGAGTGGAATGACATTGTAAAAAAGTGTACCGGGGTGGCAGAAAACAGAATTGTGTAGAAAATGACAGGCTGAGAAAAATTCTTTGAAAGATAGATTTCAATTACTGAATTACAAACCCTATTTCATTTTCGGATTTGTGAACCTTTTTTCGTTTTCGGAAATAGGAACCTTGGGAAAGAATACATGTAGCCAGTGGCTCTTCCCAATCGACTCCACTGAGTATCATTTTACATGTACATTCCACAGGGTTGGCAGGGTCTAGAGATACATTTGTCCGCTGTAGTAATAAGTATCTCGAAGCGGTATTCCATTCCTTCGGTGATTACCATTCTGCAGAGTTTCATGGCTCTGTAGTAAAATAAACATATAGTAATCACATGTTAATAATGTTAATCAATTGTTCTATCCTAGTGAGTACATATATCTGAAACATTTTTCTTGAGCTAGCAATTAACCCAAATGATTTGCTTCATCTAAAAAAAAACTACCTATCAAATAATACAGCAACAACAACAACAACAACAACAGTAACAACAGCAACGGTTCAAGTCAATTAATTCATTTTCTATTTTTAAACAATGTGAATACTTGGGCAAACACAGCAATGGAATCAAAATGTAAAATGGAAGGGTATCCTTAAAAGTATGGTCTTTGTAGGCATATCAAAGGAACACTTTGCTTTTGCAGAGTCCCAACTTTACATAGAATCATAATGTTTTTAACAGAATTGTAATACCGTATTTCAATGGTACATAACATCAAAACATACGACATTGGCACGCCAATCACCTGAACAAGAACACAAAAGCAAGAACAACAACAGACACACAGACACTAGAGAGAAAGAGAAATAGGCGACATGATAAGGCAAGAAAGGGGAATAGAAAGAGAGACGAAGAGAGAGAGACAGAGACAGAGAGCGGGTGGAAAACAAGATATATAAGAAGGAAAGACAGCAAAAGGAATTAGAATGATGATGAGAGAATGAAATAAAAACAGAAACAGAGACAGATAGAGCAGGAGATAACAGAGAAGAAAGATTTAAGTCGGAAAGGAAAGTACATTTCGTCAATGCAAAGAGTAATGGGAATTACTTAAAAAAGTTCTGAAAAAAATATTACTTAAATTTGTTATCAAGATTAAAAAATGTCATAAAAGAGATTTTCGTTCCTATTCCTACTTTATAGGTGACAGCGTACTTCCGCTTCATCAATGTGCACATTGTACATTTTTGCTTTTAAAGGCAGAGTATTCTACTGACACCAATTCCGATGTATGTGTAATACTGCTATTTGCTGCTCACAATGTCATAATGTGTCGATATTCATGTCCCACAATGCATTAGCAACTGCTTGACGCGCATGTGTTGATGTTTGGGTACAGGAACCGAAAATCGCTCTTGTGTACGCCTTCGCCTAAAGATGGCGCAATTGGAAATACATGTTTATTACATTGGAAGCGATGTTGGTAAAATACCCCGCTTTAAAAAAATTGGAATTATGGTCTTATGTGTACAGACTGATGAACAACCGCATACACTTACCGGCGCACGTCCAGTGAAAGAGGGTCCGTTATTGAAATTTCGGCTGACGCTCCTCTGCTCTCGACTCTTGTACTGAGTGAATAAAGCCATGTCCACCTTATCATTGCAAAAGGAAAGGTCCCTACTTCTGTCCTCGTGATGGAAAATTGGGATTCCTGGTAAAAATCAACAACAATAACTCCCGATTATATATGCAGAGAAATCTCAGTTATAAAGAAACCAGTTGTGCCCTAAGAAATGCAGTCTTGCCTAAGTCTAGCACTCAGTACTGTAAATAAAATTTATTCATGGCGGACCTGAAATGTATACCCAACTACTAACCAAATTACATGGACTCAGCACACTCATTTTATTCTGATCTTGTCTGAATCAATGGATAATAGATGTTGATATGTAAGATTGTTGCAACCTGGGAAGCGTGAGGGGGGAAGTGGGGGGGGGGGTGTAACAGTGATTAGAAGAGGGGTGAGAAGGGGAATAGGATAGTTTGTACACAACCATGATAACACAATGGTTGTATTATGTGTTATATTTAAACACGCTTAATCATTGATTGAGTTATACATTCGTTTATTTTTATTTTGTATAAATATACATATAAATTGACACAAGACATAATTAAAAATTCAAAAATCTGTCAACTACTACTATCACAATATTTTGCTCATCGGCTAATAGGAATAAGGCCATTACTTGTAAACAGAATTCTGTATTCTGACTTGAGTCAATTTTAAACAATCTTATCCCTCGCGGACTAACAGAATTTCATATTTTCTCTTGTTTAACTATAAATAGATGAATAAATATTTGAATGAATATATACACATATGTATATATAAATGATTGATCCAAAGTCTGGTTTGTAATGCGTTGTTAGCCAATCAAGTTCTATGGTCCCAGCTCAAATGATTTCTACCTCGAGAAGAGGTTAAGATACTTCAAAATGTTGAAGTCGTAAGGAATTTTGGCTATACCAATAAACCATGATAAGGTTAAAAGTATTACAAACTAGACTTTTGACTAATCATTGATATATATATATATATATACAGCCAATGCATGAACTGTGAAGTGTATATACATGTATATATATATTGGGAAAACAAATCCAACCAACCAACCTCGTGAAGGCATCCGATGATCACCGTGATTGTAATCTCGTGTCCCCGCAGGAACCTGGCTGCTTTGGTCTTTCATCATCATTCTGTTTCGCAAAGCGAGCACGAAGAGGACCAAGATCAGGATGAGGATGAAAAATAAAAGTACACCTGCTGTTGTTCCGACGATCACTGCAATAGAGGTTGCTGAGGGGAAAATAAAAATGTGTTACATCTACTTTTTTAGAATCACTTCGCAATTCTGACTAGTCCAACACCGTTTGTCATCTGTAGTAGTTTAGCAGTTGGAAATCATCAGGAGTCATCTGCAACAAGCGGCCATGTTATTATTTAGTCTTACTAACTCAATCTGTTCAAGTTTCCAACAGTGGCCTCTGTGAATTTGTAGGTCATGTAGGTATTGTTTGAATTTAGAATATAAATAAGGTCATGTTTTACCAAGTAACCGTTTTTATGATAAATGATCGAAACGACAGTGTAATTAAACTAGAAAAGGTAAAATAAATTCTTTTACATAACAAGGCATATATTTATTTGACTAAATTGCATTCCCTCTATAAATAAACTTTTTTAAATATAATAAAGATAAATGCATGGCATATATGCATTTGTACCCCCCAAAAGTGAATAAACATAGGGACCTATTTAAAGGGAATTGGTAACGTTGTTCAGATGAAAGAAATTGTGTTCAGGTAATGACTTCAATGCTAAATGTACAATTAAACATAATCTGAAAGTTTGAGTAAAAACAGACCATTATTACTGATAAAAAATTAGAAAAACTCATCTGATCAATTCCTTAATTCTCCCAACTACATTATTACAATTTAATTTCATTTCAGGTCAATGTAAATCGTCACAAAGCAATGGATTGGCTTTATATACCACTCCAGACATTTAAGTGTTGAAAGATCTTTATGCGCATGTCTTATATTTTATGTTCATTGAAAAACGGTCGGGAGAATTTACTGTTTGAGGGTGTTGCACAGTGACGCTTTCAAAGAAAACCATAAATATATTTGTTGTTTGTTGTTCAGGATGTTTTGTATGTTAGAGGGTTAGTACAGTAAAAGGAATATTATAGATATCATTTCATACATATTTTTTTTTCATCAACCTTCAACGAAGTTAATGAGTCACTTTAAACTTTGATGGTAAATTGATGAATATATGTGTAAACAAAACAAAAATATGTTGGTATTTCATAAAATCCAGAGTGGGAATAAATACTCAATCAAGATGAAAATAAAGAATGTATACCTTATCAAAATAGGTCTTTGAGGCATCAAATTATCATAAATTGATTATATCAATACTAGTAATAATAATTATGATAATAATAATAATGATTAAATAAATAGTTATGATAACAATAATAAAATAAAAAACTTACATTTGATGTTTGTGGATGTTTGACAGCGGTCCCCAGTCCAGCTCTCGGTACATCTAACGATTAAACAAAATCAGATGATTTTTAAAGAAAAATAGAAGAAAAGCAATTCAAAAATGGTGCATTATCTATTGAAATGTGTCAATGTCGATGACATATCAAGTAATCCGAAATACATTTTGAAATACAATAAATTCTTAATTTTACCATTCACTTGATTTTTGACAGAATTGGTCAAAGTGTGAATGCTCAAAGTGTCCCTCAGATAAAATCCCTGTGCCACATTATGTTTCTCCATAGTTTTTTGTTTTTACCTGTAGTTCATATCTAGAATTCTAGTATGAAATTATTATATTCATTTGAAGAAAAGAAAACGGTTGCATGTAGCGTACTTAAACAGAAAGGTTTAGTGCAAAAACTTTTTGTCAAAGTTCACAGTATAATTCTTCCAATTTGCTCCTATTGTTTTCACCAATCAGCACACTTGGGAAGCCTGCTAATATACCGTTGATACCAAAAGGAACGTGTGGCAAATACAAGGTTGAAAAGCTAAGTTGAGACCCTACCTGCATTCTGCACCTGATCCATCACTTGTTATTATACAGGTACCACTGTTTTCACAGGTCAGGTCTTCACAGGGTACTATTCAACATTGGAAAAATTGAGAACTAAAATTAAAAGGATTCCATCACTTTATGTAAATAAGACATGTAAGACACTATGTTATCAGTTGTAACTAAACGTTTAATTACACCGAATCTACAATGACCCTTGAAAAGATATAAAAGTGAATGTGTGACTGCTATAGAATGAACTCATTTTGTATTGATTGTTTCGATTACATAAATATTAGGGATAGATTAGGGATAAAATGAACCTAGGATTATAATGCGCTAAGATAGTGAGTGAATCGAGTGTAAGGTTATGCTTGTTACACACGTGGCGTCATGTTGTTTACGTAGGACTGCGACATGCGCAAGATGCAATACGAACATTCACAATCCCAAGTCTACTCTAGCAAGAATAGTGTTTATTTCCTTTCACGTGATGCATTATTGGAAAAAAAGTAGACGGATAATAAGATGTGGCATTGTTAAATACCCTATGAGATATAGGAATTCATGAGAATTTTTGGAGGGGAAGTTTTAAAAAGCATATCCGGGTTAAAATTGTGCACTCATTAAACAAATATCAGCCTATTCCAAAAGCATAGGCCAATTTTTGACCACAACTGACCTAAAGTGTCACTTTGGGTCAGAGTGATTTTTTCTAATCGTTATTATCGCTATTTAAATGCGCCCGATTAGTGCTAGAAAAAAAGTGTTCGAATTGCCCCTACCCCATCAAATACAATAACTATGATCGTTTCAGTCACCTTTTTACCAAAACATGACCGTTTGTATTGATATTTGTCCAAAGTCAGAATCAATTTATGGGTTTCGACATTAAAAAATGTGCGCTGATATAAGAACAATCAATGTCATAGAACGAATTTACGCAGTTTGGACCACTTTGTCAATTTGATCGGTGGCTAGCATTATGCAAGTTTAAAAATGTTCACGTGTTAGCTGATAAATTTGCCTGTCGCGGCTTGCCGGTGGGGGCGCTGTTAATTGTGAATGCACCCTATTCAATTATTGGTTTTATTATTAAAGGCCAAGTCCACTCCAAAAATAACTAACTTATAATAGAAGCAGAAAAATCAGACAAACCAATCAAAAAAAGTTTGAGCAAAATCGGATAACTAGAAAGTTATGAATTTTGAATGATATGAAAAACTTTGAAAATCACAAGACAAATTAGCAACTCACTCATGAACCTGTGACGTCATTGCCTAACTACCCACTTATTGTTTTATTTATATTGATAACATTTCCCATTTTCCCTTTAAAAGTATCATTTCCTCACAAGTTATCTTGATAGTAATATATTTTCGTGCGGATACACTAACAAAGAGGGTTTTTTTCAGTTAAGTCATGACAAATGTTAATTTGGTAAACTGTTTTAGTATACAATACTCAGAAAATAGTATAAATTCTTCAAAGTTCATGAAAGAATTTGTGAAATGTCATGCACGCAATATGCTACAAATCATATGACTTGGGCAAAGGCATGGGGAAATCAATTTTTAGTGGGGGATAAAAGGGGAAGTTAAGGGATATAAAGCAATTGATAAATAAGGAGACAATGACGTCACAAACTGATAACCAAATTGGTAATTTGTGTAGTGATTGCCATTTTTCTATACTTTTTCATTCTCTTCCAAAAATGCATAACTTCCTTATTAGTTATCCGATTTTACTCGATCTTTTTTTTTTTATTGGTTAGTCTGATTTTTTCTGCTTCAATTGAAAGTAATTTGTTTTTTGGAGTGGACTATGCCTTTAAATGCCTTGGTGATAACGCAATCTAAATGCTATATGATTTGTAATAGGTCGTAATAGATCGCTTGTCGTGAAAAAACTCACGAAAAATGTTGAAAGCTGGGAGTGACGTAAGGAACAGTCCAGAACCGCTTGTGATCTCGGCCTCTGATGTCAATGCGCTTCTAAAAATGTCAATAGCTTCTATTTCACTTAAGCTCGTTGTTGGATTGAAGATGAGAATGAAATTGGCAATGATACTTCCGATCCTGAAGGATACGACTCGCGAGCCAATGAAACCCGGTGTGTTTTGATATATCTTATCGAGCTGAGAAAAACAAGATATTGGGTTGAGGAGAAAAATTAGAGTGGACAAGGAAAATAAATCAAATCCACTGAGTGGATTAATTGCCCATTCGAAATTAGTTTTGTGTAATTAATATACAAAAAATATTCCACTGATGAAGAGTCTTCTGGTAAGACTGATGTTTATGGTGGTCGCGCTTGAAGTGACTAACATTCTTACACAGTGTCATAATCAACCATAAAAAACAATGGATAAATTCATACTTTTCCTAACTCTGAACTTGTTTTTTTTATCGAAGGGGAGACACACTGCTAAAAGAAAACACAGAAAACAAACACCTTGACGAACAAAAAACCTTGGATCTTGAGGATTATGAAGAAAACTAAACGCAGACACTCACACTCACACTCACACGCACACACACACACACACACACACACATATATATATATTATAAGACATATACTAATCATTAATATACTGTATAACATTAAAGTAAATGAATAAATATTAGTGTGCCCCTCCCCTCCTCTCACCGAGGTGCAAAGAAGAAAAGAACCTTCACATAATTATTGTGAAAGAAGTGTTTTGTAGTTCATGTATCATCACTTTCTTACATTTGCTTGGAGCTCCAATGCCAGGTTTTTAAATGTTGTAGTTGTGTCGTCAAATAGGTCCTGTGTAAAGATTGCGTCGGTGCCTTTAATTCTTGCCAAAACCATGTTTCCAGTTAGTTCATGATTTACTATTTCAAGAGAAAAGAAAAGTAAATTCAAAAGAAAAATATACTAAATGATCTAAATGAAGAGACGCATTACAGGTCTTAATGATCATCATACACTTGTGAAGATTTGATTACTGAAAGATATTTTGAAATCATGATTTTAAAATACAAAATACGTAATCCTAATGGGCTGACGAAATGAATCTTACATCTTAAACCACGGTTATAAAGCGGTAGTCTTGTACGCTTCTTTGTACGCAAAACTAGTCCCTAGTCTCAATTTATTGTCTTTTGTTATCTTATTTCGTGACAGACGATATCATTACAAGTAGTATTATTAAAACTGAATGAGATCTTGTTTTCTAAAGAAAGAATTTGAATTTTCCCTGCTAAAGCTCTTTTTAAATTCTATATATGAAAACAGTTAAAGGGATAGTTGAGTTCTGTTTTCAAACCGCAAGTGCCTTCAAAGTGCATGGTTATTACTCTTATTCTTCTCTATGACATCTCTAGTGCCCTTTTAGAACCGAACATTGCTATGAAGGTAATTTTAGACCCCCAAATTTGTGAAATTTAGCCAATACTATCATACCAATTAAGCTCCACTTTCAAAAATTTACGATGACCGTTAATTAATTATTTAATTAAAAATAACAATACATTGGCCGGCTGGTTGTGCGTAATATAACCAACGCGAAAATGCCAACAAAAAAGCCAACATCGGCGTTGGCCGAAATACAACGTAAAAGGCGCTATTTCGTTCTTTCAACGGTTTTTTTTCTTCAAATTATCTAATATTTGTGGTGGTACACAAGTATTAGAAATCGTTATATTAATGGATATTTCAGCCGTCTCTAAACCGATTTTGATCAAACCAAGATGATTTTGTCATTTAAATTGTATGTTCTTTCAAATAAGACAATCAGTTTTCCATTATATCACGAACAATATTTTGTGTAGCGCCCTCTGCAACAGAACTCAACTATCCCTTTAAACAGTTATCTCATTTAAAGGTAATGCAAAGTTTTGGTATGGGGTCATGAATTTGGTTCAAATGAACATATTGGAAGCATATACGATCCTACAATATTCAGTAATCTTTGTCGCGGTCGAAATCGACTCGAAAGTTATGGAAGTGTAAATAATAAACACTTTATGTTGAATAGCTCCCTCTCAAGGTCAAAATATTAATTAAGCTATAAACAATGTCTATTGACTAAAATCGACCGATTAGCTATTCTCGTTCGGAAATTATATATCACAACTACATACTCTGAGATTTTCATGGTCGCAGCTACCATTGTACGGCCGTAGGAGCTATTTGAAATTTATCAAAATTTACCGGGAGCACCGGTAAATCTTTATTTTCATTTTTTCTCGAAAGCAGAAATGTTTTAGGGGAAAATATAGAAAAATTATCGCCTGTTTACTTGAAGGAGCTGTCTATTCGAAATCATTAATATGTAATTGGTTTACCTGGTTGATTGCTTGCTACATTTAGAACAAACTTGAAGGTTTTTGACAAGACTCCATCTGTTGCTTCAATCCTGATGTTGTTAACGCCAGGCGACAGATCTGCTGGCTGAAATTGTTCCACTCCGTTAATAACAATGGGGTCATACTTGACGTCACCATAGAACGAGAAATTAAGAGAGGTCAGGCCCTCGTTGAGATGACCACGGAAGAATAGACTGTATGTGTTTCCGTCATAAACAGCGGATGCCTGCAAAATCTCGACTGGCAATTCTGTCACTTTAGAGAAAAAATTGAGGAGGGAAATTAAAGGAACGAAATAACGCTCAGAATTACATGAAATATATAACAGGGGTAATGAAACCGACTATAAATAGATAAATAAATGAAAAGGATAAATTAAATCAATAAAATGTTATCAAAGAAAGGTGGGAATCTAACAAAGTTTTTGGAAGGGGATAAATCGGCTGGCGTTTGCATTAGCTAACTAGCGTGTAGAACTGTGATGTTCAATCTTGCCTTGTCGTTTGCAATGTAAATTTATATATCCCATATTTTGATTTTTTTTGTTGTTGTTGATTTCGTTACAGATATAAGATATATATTTATGCCATTTTTGATTAATAATTTTCCAATATATTTTAATAGTACAGGTAAAATGTGTATGTTATAATATACTCCTGATGACATGTTTATGTATAATACGCATTCAGAGCCATTATTTTCTCTGACATATATTCATTTTACAAGATGCTATTGTTCACTTCCCGTTCTGACACAAAAGCGGTGATATTAGTATATAATTACACACTCCTACTAAATAATGGAAATCTCCAAACTACCAAGTTACTAGTAATCATTTTCATTTATTCAATTACTGTAGGTGTTTGGTAATTGAGTGAATTACGGTTATTTAAGAATATATGTTGAAGAAAACCCGACTGTTTACATGGGCAATGCAGAACGCGTTATATGCGTATAGGGTGTATATAATTTTTAATCAAAACTAACTTTGTATATTAATATAACAAACGGTGCTATTGATGTTTCCAGCTGAATCGGTGACAGTTGCTGATATTTCATTGACGCCTGGATCTAATCTTTGACCCGGTTGCGTTGGAGCAAAATCGACCCGAAGTGACGACGGCTCATCGACATTATCCGAAACAACAGCGTCATAATTAGCCACAACATTACCAAATGGTACAGTCAGGTTGGAACACATTATAACAGGAGCTTCATCATCTGTCAAATCAAATCGATGAATACGTTGCGGTTAGCTAATGTGAATATTTCATGAGATACCAATTATTATTGTCACGTGTATGATTGATTAATATCAAGCTATTTTTTTGCCACTTATAGGGTTATAATATATGTGTATGTGTGTACAAGACTTGTTGTGGTCTATAGTGGATAAGCCATGAGGCTGTACATCAAAGGTTACGGGGTTCTAATAGCCCGGCATTAACGTCCCTTGGCAACACTTTAACCTACGTTTGCCACTTTCCACCCAGGTGTTAATTGGTAACTGATATGCTTGAGTGCTTGTTACTTTAGTGGCTCAGCTATAACCACAATAATAAAGTCAAAGCACCATAAACGACACTGTGTGATGGAGATGAACGCTCAACAAGTGGCAATTATTATTATGATGATGATAATAATAATGATATATTTACTGACCTTGAGGGGGGTACAACATGTATTGCCTGAGCTAGATTCACATTACCCGAGTCAAAGAGGAGGGCAATATTAGTCGTATCTCCCGAAAGTAGGAGCCAGTCAATATTATTATTATTATTATTATCCAAATCAGACATCTAAAGCCCAAAATGGAAATATTACTTTCATACGCCTGCTTTGCTAGCAGCTCTCCTGACACTTTGCAGGCATAGGAGCTGCATACAGTGGAACGGCCCTATATCCCAGCTGTGCCCAGGCGCGTATGCAGGGGGGCTGGCTGAGTCGTTGCGATTTTTGGGACCCCCCCCCCCCCCTTGAAAAAATCCTGCGTACGCCACTGGCTGTGCCTGCTAGCTAACCACGGAGTACGCCAATTAAAATGTATGTATTGTGTGTCTACGCCTAGAATTAAAATTAGGATAAGGAATAGAAATTGGGTGGCGCACAAAAGAACATTAGATCAGAGATTACACAATATTTTACATAATCCAATACATACATGTACCTACCATTCTTCATAATCTAACGCAATTCCTCGAGCTGTTCAAAGGCTGTAATTTTACTTGTTTTGTTGTTAAAATAGACACGATTTCCATGTTCACCTACACACACACACACACACCCACCGTATAGTTGAGCGAGCTTTTTCGACTACGCGCTGCATTACTGCTGCCTGCTGCACCACACACAAAAAGAGCCACCCATCTGCTTATTTTACGTGTAAACCTATGGAAATAGAATATAGAATATAAAGCAGCCAGACTTCGAATATTAATGCAGTCGATATGTCTTTTATATGCCGCATTGAAACAAAAACCTACCAAGAATTCTAACCTTATCCTTTTATTAAGTAAAGATTGGTTAAAAGTAAAAACATCACGGAAAATCTGAGACATTGTCTGTTAATCTTAACTTGAAATATGACGGAAATTTTCAATCATTTGAGAATCGCAGACAAAAAGCATGGTATGGTGTCCGCGCTCGCACAAAGACAATTAAACACGTAAACCAATGGGTATAGCAGCAAAATGTTATTATTTTCATGGTTACCGGAATTTTGAAGGATCTCACTCTTGGACTATTAACCGTTATTGGCATTTTATGTTTCTCAACGGGAATGGCTAAAATCACGACTCCAAATTCCAACAACCAGATGGCTGGATTCATAAAGTGAGCTAAATAAAGTCTTATATTGACCGTTTTGCCCTCTTATCATTAAAAACAAGTGTAATATGATTTTGTAAAACCACTGGTCAGATGTCTGATACGGAAAAAAAAAACTTACTGCTACCACTAATAATAACAATAAGTACTATTATTATTATTATTGGTAACAGTAGTATTATTGTCATTTTCATTATTATTAGTAGTAGTAGTAGTATTTGTTATTATTATTTTATACCCTTAGACTGTAAGAATTTAACAGCACTAAAAACATCAGAACACGCACCAATAAAAACTATGATGTAAATGTACATTGTTTGTAATATACCACAATATGTAGTAACGTATGAAACAACAAAAGACAAAAGTACATTGCACCGAGCAGCTTTAAATTTGCTAAAGGGACATGTTTAACGATAAAATATCAACTTATTTTTGGCTAAACTCTTTTTGGCACTTATTACCTAATATTAAAAAAATAAAAATTAAAGTCATTTCCTTAATGCCGATTCACTTCCTCTTAATTGCATGTTGCGTTATCATTTTGTGATGAATTACAAAATGAAATAAAATGTTAAATGTATTACCTTGAACACGGTATGTTCCTGTACATGTCTTATTCAATTCGTCATCATAGATCAGTGCAATCACGTCGTGCGTCCCTATAGACACACCGCCGCCAACCGGGGAACCTCCTAAAGTAAGATTAACCGAGACACCACCTCCGTGATATCTGTAACCACCTACAGATTTGACAACGTCATCTGCTCCGAAATCTGGGCTAAACGTATACGTCGCTTGTTCTGGATCAGTGCCCATTGTGCGATCAAAGTCCGGACAGTTCACGGGCAACTCGGTAACTGCAAACAATTACAATGACAATAAGGGACGGTTGACATCTCAGTATTAAAGTCAAGGTAAATGTTTAAAAAAAATGAATTTCCTAAATTATCAAATATTTGCTCTTAAAATAAGGAATTCCTTGCTAAAGTTTAACTCAAGCATCTTTATCAGAAGTGGGAAAATATCAAGATTTGCAGTGCAACATGCCTCATCAGGATGAATTACACCTCCCGAAGAACCCCGTGGCAATTTACAACATGTTGTGTAGCAGTTGCAAGTTCTTCCAGTAATTTATTGTAACATCGCTAATAATTGCAATAGCACTGAACGAACAATATTCTTCATGAAATAATGTCTCATCAGACCTACGTGTGTTGTGTACGTAGAATAGGCATGAATCTGAGTTGTTAAATGCATCGACTGCCACCAATGTTACTGGTGTGTATCCTGGAGGAAACGGGTCATCTTCTGAGACGTTATAAGTTACCCCATTCGGGTCAGCACTTGCATCTTGGTAAGTATAGGTTGTACCATTCGTCAATCCAGAAAAGGTGTTTGGTGTATCGAGATGGAGAGCTACATTGGAACATGTCAGGATAGGAGGATCTGTGTCTATAAAAATATATATATATTAAGGCATAGTTAATTGAAAGCAGAGAAAAGCTTATTTTTTAACATTTTGAAACAAAAGGGACGCAGGGTTTTTCAATTTAAAATTGTCAGTAAACGTGTGTGTATTGAAATGTTTGTTTAGCTGTCTTTCCAATACCATGGACTACCAAGACGCTTAAAGATATGTCGCTTGTAGAGATGTCGTGGTCGAGTGGATATGTCACCGGCCTGTGGATCGAAAGGTCCGCGGTTCAAGTCCCGCTGCGGCACTAATGTCCTTCGACAATATACAGTGTTCTACATTTGCCGCTCTCTATCCAGTTGTTAAATGATGTTAAATGGGTACCAGGTAGCGTTTTTTTTGTACCACAGAGAGCCAAGATTCAAGTATGAACTCATGTTTATACATAACAAGCTACGAAAGCCTGCGAAAAGGTAACGAACAAGTAGACTGTAATTGTTTATTGCTTTGCTTCCCTATTTATAACGGCAAAACAACTAAATGAATATTGAGATTCGAACCTTTAGTTCAATCCCAAGGATCCCAATTCTATTAGTAATACGCTGTCCTTACCGATTGAGCTAACGAAGGATTGATGAAAGGTTGTTTCGTATAATTAGTATTCCCCTATTAACAACCCTACTGGATTCCATGTGCGCATTTGCTGGTTTCCTTCCCGAGTACGCATGCGCAGGTTTCGTTTGCGAGGTCAAACTGTGGGAGGGCTCGCTAGGGTATTTAAAGCTAAGACGCTAGTCGGTACCCGAAAGCTAGTGTGGTTAAATTAGCAAGTGTGCGCTTGCAAAATTGACGCCTGGCTGGAATGTTCCCCCAGGGAATGGGGAATGTACATATATTGTGTGCGGGTAAGCCTGAATCCGATGACCGGGATAATAATATATATCCGTGAAGTGCTTTGAAAGGGCCTGCGATCCTAAAAAGCGCTATATAAGAACAAACTATTATATTATTATTACGGAATCGTATAACCGTTGGCTTCTCTTGGACCATATATAACATATGTGCATTATATAAATAAGTCTTATAGAATTAGAAAACTGACGAGATTGTCTCGTGGGATCCACGCATCCTCGCCAAATCAGTTATCATAAATTGTTTAACGGGCATGAATTCTTCCAAAGCAGTGAAACAAACGGAAGACAAGAACGTAACAAAACTTTTGGTTAATCATGTGATGATTCTTTTGCCAGATTTTTGGCATTGTCCTTTTTGTGTGGTGGTACATGATGATACTATCAACGAAACGTAGCCACAGTTACATTTCTTATAAACATGAAACAAAGTTGTTTAGATCAATATATCTTCAGTCTTTTATAATATAATTGATACAAAATGAATAAAATGTAAGTTGCTTTCTATGCACCGATTACCTTTGACGATATAGATGCCCGTGCATGTCTTACTCAATTCGTCATCATAGATGAGTGCAATCATGGCATGGGTTCCTATGGACACACTGCTCCCAACTGGGGATCCTCCTAAAGTAAGATTTACCGAGACATCACCTCCGTGATATCTGTAACCATCTACAGATTTGGTGACATTATCTGCTCCGAAATCTGGGTTAAAAGTATACGTCGCTTGGTCTGGATCAGTGCTTATTGTGCGATTCAAGTTCGGGCAGTCCACGGGTAACTCGGTAACTGCAAACAATTACAATGATAAGAAAAGACGGTTGGTAACTCAATAATCTTAAATTGATGTAAAACACACAATCAGTTTAGAATTTCTAAATTATCAAATATTTGCTCGTAAATTAAAGTATTC